TAACAAAGACCAGCTGCTGTGCCCTAAAACGAGTTTCTAAGAAAAGTAGTGCACAGCTGTATTTATTTGCATAGGACATGATTATATAGAAGACACTAAAAAATCTGTGAAAAACTGCTAGAACTATTAAGTGAATTTAGCAAAATCTCAGAACTCCAGGTTAATATGCAAATTTTACTTGTATTTTTGTATACTAACAGCAAACCGTTATGAAATGCAATTAGAGGCCACCGCAGCCCCCTGGGAGTCTGGAAAGGGGGAACTGCGAGCCAGTGAACGGCTCAGTCCCCGGGCGGCAGGGGCCGGTGGGGGTGGGACGCTGCTGCTGCGAGGGTCTGGCGGAGGTCCGCACCAGCCACGCTGAATAAAAGCAAGAAGGAGGAGGGACCACCAGAAGCGGGACACGTGGACAAAGTTCAAGAGGAGGACAAGACATAGTAGAATCAGACTGCCGCTGTCTGAGAGCTGGGGCTACAGAGCTTGAAATTACCCCGGAAAACCTCTGAAATGTTGCGCCCTTCACCGCTTCCTCCTACGGACTCCAGAGGCAACACACCGTATTAAGCATGAGAGTTGGCAGATCACTGTGTATATTTTGCAGGAGCACAGACTGAGGTGTTTCTGTTCCTCTGACCTTGAGTTACCGTTGCTTTCCATTGTGGTCTCTTTCCCCTCAGTGTTCCTCTCCGTTCTTCACTTCTAGTCCCACCGCCTTACCAAGTGTGATCGACTCACGCAGGTGAATTAGACCATCTTTTCGCACGCTCTTTTCCTCCCTGTCTGCCAGTGTTACTCTGAACTTGACCGTTTTAACCTTTTCAAACTTTTAAGCTTCTCAAACTTTCTGATGTCACGTCACCATGACAGTCAGCATTGGCTCAGGTTACCCTGTGGACATACCTCTGTTAGGACAGTTAGCACATCCGGGGCTGCCCAGCCCGAGAGGTGCAGAGCAGGTGCCCGTCCGGGGCAGAGAAGTAATCCCGACAGAGAAAACGTTAAAGAGCTTGGCCTGCGGTTGACTTAATTACCACTTCAAGCGTGGGGAAGGTCCTTATACAGAAGTCCTGGCCGGTGATAATCTGGCCTCAAGGAAAACAGAGGAGCAGGTGGCTTACGTTGCAGACCACTTTGTGGTTAGAACAGGGGGACATTTGATGGCGTGGGTTTTTAGCAAGAGGATGAAGTCCTTTAGTAAAGGGTAGAGTGCTTCAGCCAGGGGCTAGTGAATAAAACGCTGACTCCTGATGGCCATAAATGCTGGCACCTAACGCCTGTGGCCCTGCTCCCCATCTCCAAAATGGCTTGGTGAGTTTCAGATTTGGCCATTTTTAAGTTTATTGGGTAGATTAGGCATGACCCCTCTTGAAAGTTTCCCTGCAAGGTATATGGCAGGATATGTCTTCCCATGTAACAAAATACCATTAAAAGTCGTAACTGCTGCTGTGCAACTTCTCCCTTTTAGTAGAAACTTCTGTTCCTTGAACGACGTGTATTGGTGCATCTTTCTTTGCTTTTTTTCTCTTTCAAATAGAATGTTTCATGTTTGACTTGCTTATCCATATGTCTCCTGGGAATCAGTTTCTGCCCAGTACTTCCTGCTGGTTTATTTCATAGGACACTTTTAAGGAGTGAGGTTGCAGATGGGTTCACAGGTGACTTGACCTTGGAAAACTGTGGAGATTGACAGAGGGAACTCGTCTTTGAGCACCTGTTCTCAAAGCAACATTCAGATCTGTAGAAACACACCTAGGCTCATTGGATGAACATTTAGAATTCTAGTAAATTGCTCAGAGATTCCTAAAGTCCAGTTTAGAGGATCAGACCGTGTGACTGTGTTGTTATTATATTAATTTGTGTAGCGTCCAAAGTTACTTTTTAAAAAGATTAATTTGTTTATTTTTGGCTGTGTTGGGTCTTCATTGCCGCGTGTGGGCTTTCTCTAGTTGCGGCGAGAAGGGGCTACTCTTTGTTGTGATGTGTGGGCTTCTCACTGCGGTGGCTTCTCTTGTTGCAGAGCACAGGCTCTAGGCGTGTGGGCTTCAGTAGTTGCAGCATGCGGGCTCAGCAGTTGCGGCTCACGGGCTTAGTTGCTCCGCGGCATGTGGGATCTTCCCAGACCAGGGCTCGAACCTGTGTCCCCTGCATTGGCAGGCAGATTCTTAACTACTGCGCCACCAGGGAAGTCCCCAAAGTTATGTTTTAAAAAGTGTTCGTGCTTTTTGTAAAGTGATTTGTTATAAGCACGTTAAAGGTCATTCAAGTGTTGTTCAAAAAAAAGAAAGAAAAAAAAATTAGAGAGTTAATTATATTTACAATAATACCCAAAGACAAAATATTTAGTAATATGTTTAACAAAAGATGTGTAAGAGCGCCTCTTCACTGAAAGCCACAGAACATTGCTGAGAGAAAGACAACTTGAAGGGACTTCCCTGGTGGTCCAGTGGCTAAGACTCTGTGCTCCCAGTGCAGGGGGCCCGGGTTCAATTCCTGGTCAGGGAACTCGTCCCACATGCCGCAACTAAAAAAAGATCCCGCGTGCCACAACTAAGACCCGGCGCAGCCAAATAAATATTTTAAAAAATAAAGACAACTTGAAGAAATGGAGAGAGAGCATGTTTGTAGATTAGAAGACTCAATACTGTTAAAATGTCAGTTATCCCAGTCAAGATTCCAGAAGGCTTTTTGTAGTAATTGACAAGATGATCCTAAAACATGGAAATGCAGGTGACCTGGAATTGCCAAAGCAATTACACAAAGCAGGGCTTCACTCTGCCTGACTTCAGACTTTCTGTAAAGCTTCAGTAGTTGGTACTGGTGACACACAGATGAATGGAACAGAATAGGAAGTCCAGAAGTAGACCCACACACAGACAATTGATTTTCAACAAAGATGTCAAGATAATTTAATATGAAAAGGAAAGCCTTTTTAACACATGGTGCTACAACAACTGGATATACATAGGGAAGAAAAATGAACTTGATCTTTACTTCACACCATGACACAAAAGTAACTCAGAGAAAACACAGGAAATCCTTATGACCCTGAGGTCAAGGCAGAGATTCCTTAGGACGCAAAAAGCAAGAACCATAAAAGAAAAAATGGATGCATTCGATTTTATCAAAATGAAAACATTTGTTCTTCTAAAGATACCCATTAGAAAATGAAAAGACAAGTCACAAAATGGGAGAAAATATTTACAGTACATATATCTGACAAAATACATGAAGAGTTAGCACATAATAATAGACAGATGACCCAGCCAAACAGCGTGGCCCAAAGATGTGAATAGACACATTATGAGAGATGTAAGATGTGTGAATGGCTGACAAGCAGGACAGAGGTGCTGACTGTCGCTAGTTACCAGGGAAACGCAGGTTGGAACAGCAGGAGAACCGCTGCCCGCCCACCGGTGCGAGGCCACTAGCTGGCAGGGCCAGAGCAGGTGAGCCGCCCACTGCACACGGAGCCGCTGCCCGAGAACAGCAGGGCAGCTTCCCAGAGAGTCCCCTTGACCTGGTGCTTCCAAGTATTTACCCAAGAGGAAGGAAAGCAAGCGACTGTGCAGGAACGGGCCCAAGAACGTCCCCAGCAGCGTTAGCCACCAAAATGTGGAAAAAGCCACATGGCCATCAGCAGGCAGCGGGCAAGGGAAGTGTCCTTGCAGTGGATGCCACTCAGCCACGAGAGGGCAAAGTATGGAGGAATCTGAAGATCGCTGTGGCCATGCTGAAGGGCAGGAGCCCGACACAAGGTGCGCGGACAGTGTGGTCCGTTCTGAAATTCCAGAAGACGCCGTCCACATGCAGCGGCAGGGCTTGGCCGGGCAGGCGGGGGCCGTGGAGGGGCCGCACGGTGTGGACACCGTACTCAGTCGTGTCCACTGAGTAGCAGACAGAGGTGTCGACTGAGACCTGATTCCTGAATCAAAGGTGTCAATGCGGCTGTGACACCACTAGTTGCCACCTGAGGGGATTTCAAATTCTAGAAAGGGGATGGTGCCGCAGGAAAGAGCAGGTGTTCTTTTTGTTTTTGTTTTTGTTTTTGCGGTACGCGGGCCTCTCACCGTTGTGGCCTCTCCCATCGCGGAGCACAAGCTCCGGACGCGCAGGCTCAGTGGCCATGGCTCACAGGCCCAGCCGCTCCACGGCATGTGGGATCCTCCTGGACCGGAGCACGAACCCGTGTCCCCTGCATCGGCAGGCGGACTCCCAACCACTGTGCCACCAGGGAAGCCCAAGAGCAGGTGTTTTTAACGGGGGGACTTGACGTGGGGGGCGGCGTCTGCTCCATCAGCCTGGACTAAAGGCAGCACAGAGCGAATGGCAGGACAGACCCCAGCCCGGGACCCCCAGGCCCTGGGCCAGTGGGCGGAGGGGCTTCTCGCCCCCCAGCCCCAAGCGCGCCCTCTGTGGAACCTGAACCAGCCCCCCTCATGCGCAGCTCCACTCTGCAGCTGTTTTTGTTAAGAAAAAAGTGTTTTTAGAGGTGACTTTTATGTGTTTGGGACAGATTATAATTGTAGTTCCCACCTTTCAGAATAAAAACCCGACTCACGATTTACTTCCGGGGTTGTGCAGGCCAGCGTGTTTCCCTGGTTGCGTTAGAAGTGTGGCACCGTGAGCGCTGAATCGCGTGGGCTGTCGCGTTTCGTGTGGCTTTAGCGTTAGGAAGTTTACTTGCAGTCTGTTTGCTCTCTGGATCCATCACCCGCCAGAGGCACCTGCACCCAGTACTGCCTGTGTTATGGCTTTTAGTGCCCCAGCTGGGTGTTTCCCACACACCCTCCCGTGATGACAACAGGGCCAACGGCACAAAACTGTTAAGACCGAGGGGTCCTGACCAGCCTGGCCGCCCCAGAGGTACCCTTGCCATTCCGTCTCTGGGTGGAAATACTGGAAATCGAATTCGGGTCTTATGAGGACAGGATGAGATGGCGGGTGGGAGGGCCGTCCGAGCTCTGGGGCAGGACTGGCTCACCCAGACCCTCTCTGCTCAGTCCTTCTTCCTGGAAGCATCAGCGAACGGTGGGAAACTGGCGGAGGAGGGAGTGAGTCCATCAGATCCTGGTCCGGGTGGGCCGAGCCATGGGGGTTCCTGATGAAAAGTCCAGTTGGACCCCGAGCCCCGGGCGTGGTTTGGCTGCGCTTGACCAGCAGCACGGCCTCACCTATCCACCTCGATTTGCAGGCCCCGGACCGAGGGTCTGCCGGGCTCCAGGAGGGCCAGGTAAGCATCCTGCGCCCTGGCCCCCGCCCGGTGCCCTGCCCTGCCAGGCGTCGCCTGTGGCCACACGGCACCCCTCTCTCTCGCAGACCCTGAGCTCCGGGACATGGCGCTCCAGCGCGCCGTCCTCCTGGCCAGCCTCCTGGTGGAAGTTGCCAGTAGATCCTCAGGAAGTGCGGTGAGCACCCAGCACGTGGCTCATGGGCTCTTCACCCAGGGGCTCGCCCTTCCACCTCTAGGTGCCACCCTTGTCCCGGCCCCCGAGATGCTGGCTGTGCCCACTGCCAGGGTCAGAGGGGCCTGTGCCTCTGGGCGGGCAGCAGACGCACAGCCCCGCCTCTGGCACCCGCTCCACTCTGCCTGCTAGAACCTCCTTTCCCTCTGCCCAACTAGACCTCTTTCTGGAGCTGAAATAGGGTCTCCACAGAGCTGCCCCCACTGGCACTGGCCACAGCTAGTGGGGCGGACAGAGACGCCCACTTCAGGCTCAGACTCGGCCAGGTCATGGCTCTCCCAAGCCGGTGACACAGGTGTGCCAGGCTGTGGTTTCTGGAGGTGCCCGGCCATGTGTGCACACACCCAGCTGCTCGTCCTCCAGGATGGTGAGCCTTCCAGCCACTCTGCCCCTGCCGGGTTGGGTGGGACAGGACGGCCAGGCCTCCCCCTCGGGCTTGGCCTTGGCCCCCTGGAGTCCAGGGTGCGCCCATCATTCCTCAGCCGCCCTGAGGTGCCCCTTGCAAATCACAGCGTGCCAGTCCTGGGAAACCAGCTCGGCTGGACTGAGCGCACGGAGCGGAGCTGCCCGGACGCCCCCTGAGGCCCCTGCCGCCGCCTGGTCTGTGAGTGCAGTGCCCGCAGCGCCCACTCCTGCGCGTGGGCCTGGCCTTTCCTCTGTGGGGGCCGAGCTGGACCCCCGATGGAGGTGCCTGTAGACTTGCAGAAGCATCACAGAAGTGTCCAGGAATGTGGGCTGTTTGGTCGGGAGCGCGGGCAGACGCGCTGTGAGGGCTGCACAGGCCTCTCAGTAGGGAGGCCGAGGGGGCCTGGAGTTATCTTCCTGTTTCACCACTGCCCAGAAACACATGTGCTTCCTTTCTTAGCAGCTTCATCTTTTGATTTTCAAAGCCACCAGCTGCAAGTGGCGACTAATATAAATAACTTCACGGTTGAAATGCCTGCCCTGTGCCCACCTGTGGCCCACAAGGCGAGAGGTGGCGGCTCTTCCCATGACCCAGGAGACCCCCGTGAGAAAAGAAAGGGCTGCAGGGAGGCCCCAAGGGGAGGGTGGGCGGGCAGTGGAGGAGAGGACCACCCCCTGCCCACCAGGCTGCTCCAGCCCACCCCCAACAGAATCTCTGGGTGGGCCCCGAGGGATTCCTGCCTTTGGGAGTCCAGGTGCCACGGAATGTGCCCTGGCAGGTCCCAGCCCAACACTTCGGTTGTTGGTTCAGTCACCAAACGCTCGCCGGACACCAAGTGCTGTCCCAGGGAGCGTCTGTGCGGTGTGGCCGTGCGTCCTCACCCTGCTCTGGGTCAGCGAGGCACAGTCACCGGACGCTGACTACAAGAGGCCAGAGCCCCAGGTGTTGGGGTGAGCTTGCCGGGAGCCCCTCTGCGGATATCGCCCTGGGCCTGGCCCGCACAAGCTGCCCGGCCGCAGGGTCTGGAAACTCACCACTATCTCCCCTCTAGGGCCAGCAGCCCAAGTGTTGTGTGGACGTGGTGGACACCAACGCCACCTGCCCAGGCACTAACCTGTGTGGCCCAGGTGAGCTTTGGCATGAGCCAGCCTAGATGGCCTCGGGAAGGAGGGGCCAGAGGGGTGGGCAGAGGCAGCGAGCGTGATGGGGCCTTGTCCTGGGAGGTGGGGGCAGGACCCCAGGAGGACACGGTGGCTCCAGGCCTGCGGGGTGGGGGCAGGTAAGACTGCCTCTTCCCTCGCAGGGAGTTTGCTGACGTAAGACAGGAGCAGCAAAGTACAGAAACGTGTACAGGTTTTACAGGACATGGGAGGAAGTGGAGTCCCAAGTAAGTGGCAGAATCAGCGCTTACACAGCAGGTTGAACAGGAGGCGATTGTGGGCAAGTGGCTGAAACACTGGGGCAGCCGAAGGGAGACGGGGATGATTGTAACATGGTCTCCTGACTCCCGTCTTCTCCTGGTTGGGGGGCGGGGGGCAGCTCGCATATGGGGTTTGTCTCCTCCCCACTTGAGACTTTACCTTCAGAAAGTTTCACATATTAAAAGCCAAGTTGGTAGCTGTGGAGAGATTTGGGTTAGAAGTTGTGGGATAGGAGGTCGGCAAAGGGGAGGGGACACAGATGGAGCGAGCAGAAAGGAACCAGATAAGCACCAGCTCCCGTGTCTCGCTGACCCTCAGTCCTGGGACAGCCCGTCCCATCAGACTCAGCTCAGGAGGAGGATTGTGGGTGGGCTCCCACCAGTGAAACCTCTGTGTGTGGGCAGTAGGTGGGGCGGGGACAGCGTGGAGACCCTCGACGCAGCCCTAGTCTCTCAGGAACTTTCCCAGTGGCCCGCCATTGCCGCAACCTGTCGAGGTGACTGCCTGAAGTTCACATCAGTTTGCAGGGCTTTGGGAAACGGCAGTTCTGGTCCTTGTGATACCAGGTCAGAAGGGTGGGAGAGAAGTGGAAACGTTAGTATGGAGAGTCAGAGCCAGACAGTGGGGGAGACTGGGAGATTTCAGCACCCGGTCCAGTTTACAGGCAGCTGGGCCTCGAGGCCCAGGTCAGGACTGGAATCTTCTCCATCAGGCAGATCATAGTTTCCTACTGAAAGGTCACTTCTCTCCGCAGCCAGCCCGCTTTCTACCAAAGAGAGTCACAATGACACTAATTGTCTTACAAATAAGCCTAGCCTCACTAAACTTGGCCTGATTGTTGAAGGAAATTTAGCCACAACAGCGACTGACCACACAGGCTCTTTTTAAGTCTGCTTTGCTGGCCTTTTCCCAGGGCCTCTTGAGTCCAGGAAGCCAAGCCAAGGACTCAGCACCAGACTTTGCCTGCAGTACCTCTAGGTTTGGGTGAATTCCTCTCTTCCTGAGGTCCCTGGCCCTGCCGGGCGGTGACCTTCCTTACTCACTGGGCAAGGCAGGGAACCCAGTGAGCCAGGCCCTGCGCTGCTTTTCAAGGGGCTTTAGGGCTCAGCAAAGTCAACCTTCGCTCCTTAGATCTGGTTACTGGGCCTGGCCCCCAGCTGTGCTTTGTTCCTGTACACACAGCGCAGGGCCTCCTTGTGGCCAGCAGCCCTGGCGGCTTCACCAAGGAGCCCAGGTACCTTGGGGCTGGTGGAGGGAGCTCTCGGGAGAATCGTTGCCTTGGCGACAGGTCTGTACCCAGGACCCCATGTTCCTAGGCCTCCTCGATCAGCCCCCCCAGAGGTCAGCCCCTCCCAAGAAATGCCGAGTGAAGGGAAAGAGCCCAACTACTTCAGAAGAGAAGCCCTGGTCTTACGAGAAACGAAGGCCTGTTCCTGATACTTGTATGATTCCACGTTGGGTCTGACGTGGCCTCCTGGCACGGCGCTCAGCCCGTGCGCCCCCGTCATTCTTCAGACCCTGCCATCTGCTTGGCGTCACAGCAGGAAGGCCTTCCTCTGAGGGGACCCGTTTGTGTGCAGACTGCGTGCTGGTCAAGTCTGTGCCGGCCTCCAGCACCTGCAATCAGTATTTCTCCAGTACGTTCTCTCAGCCCGTGCTACGTGCCGGGGTGTTGAGAAGAAATAAAGGTGTAAGACGCAATCTCTGCCCTTAAAGGGCGCAGTGGGCCAGGTGGACTGCCTGCAGACCGCCGGCTGGCAAGCGCTGGACCGCTCCCAGCCCCAGGGCGGGCCGCAGGCTGTGGGGAGGCCGCTGGCCACGGCGTTGGGCAGGGCAGGAACGCGGGTCGAGTGTGCTTGGGCCGCCCGGGGGCGGGGGCGGGCGCAGGCGGCAGCACACTGGCGCAGACGGCCCTTGTCCCTCGTGGCGGCCGAGTGGGAGTGCGCTGCAGCCCCTGGTGGATGTGGGAGGTGGGGCTCGTCTCTCGTCCCCTCCAGCATGTATACTCGGCACCTGTCAGTTTCGGGTCCCCATCCGGGCCTCTGCAACCCTTTCCGAGGCATCTGGCAAGGGGCCGGTGGGAATGCCTGTGCGAGAGAGGGCTGGCTTCAGTTCCCGCGGAGGCGGTTCTTGTTCTGAAGTCCATCCAAGCTTCCAGAGTGGGTGAACTAGCGTCCTGGAATAAATGTGGTTTTACAGACTCAAAGCGTAGCACTCCCTGAAGGCAGCCGGCTGGCGTGGCCTTGCTTTGAGCCGAGCCTCCTGTCTCCCGGCACAGGCTGCTACGGGCACCGGGCCGAGGACGGGACCGTCAGCTGCATCCGCTGCAGGAACGGGACTCACAACAGCTCCGAGTGCAGAGGCTGTATGTCCCCCCGCCCCTCCCCCTGCCTGCTGCTCACCAAGGGTCCACACCTCCACGTTCTGGAGGAAAGGGTGGGAGTTCTCGCTGTTGTCCCCACACCTGGGCCACTGTCCCTCGGTGGACACCTCCCAGGAGCCCTCTCCCCGAGTCCTCTTGCCCCCCAGGACAGCTGTGGGGTGGGGGCTGCTCTGTCCCCACGGCCACCTCCCTGTCGCATTTCCGGCCCATTTGGGCTGCATCTCTGGCTCCCCAGGGTTCCTCTGCGGGGCCCCCGTGCCTGATCCAGGACCTCACGTGGGTCTGGGCGGCCTATGGAGCCAGCCGCACTGACTGCTGTGTTCCCCCGCAGTCGCTGCCCGGGGCGCGCACTTCCCCATGAACAGGAGCACGGGGATGCCTGGGCGGCCGAGTTTTGGTAAGTCTCTCGGCTCACCGGACCAGTCCTGGGGGGACACAAGGGCACCATCAGAGCCATTCCCAGCGCAGACCCAATCACCGATGCTGGCCACGGAAGGGCCATGTCCACAGTCAAGGGCAGGCTCCACCCCAGCCAAGAGCTCTGTACTGGGACCCAGCCCTGGCCACGGAGCAGGACCCCGGACGGTATGGAAGCTCGGTCGGCTTTGAAGTCAGGGTCGGGGGTTGATTTAAAAGGGTGGGTGCTGGGCTTCCCTGGTGGCGCAGTGGTTGAGAGTCTGCCTGCCGATGCAGGGGACACGGGTTCGTGCCCCGGTCCGGGAAGATCCCACATGCAGTGGAGTGGCTGGGCCCATGAGCCATGGCTGCTGAGCCTGGGCGTTCGGAGCCTGTGCTCCGCAATGGGAGAGGCCGCAACAGTGAGAGGCCCGTGTACCGCAAAAAATAAATAAGTAAATAAAAGGGTGGGTGCGGCTGGGGTCGCTTGGCGTGGACCTCCACGTGCCTCTGAATGGGCTGCACGTCTTAACCCTTTGCCTGGCTTAGAGGCACCCCGGCCCCTTGGTCCCTGGGAGCTCAGGATGTGCAGTTCTCCAAGGTGGGAGGGCATCTGAAGTCCCCTTGCACTGTCCCCGGTGGCTCTTCTAGGACATAGGTCTTGGAGGGAACTGAGACGCTGCAGGCAGGCAGACATACCCTCCATACCACCTGGTCCTCAGGTGCAGACACGGGAGACGCCCTGGTACCCCGCCTGTTCCTGCTGCGAGGCGTCCTGTCGTACCTGAGACGCTGGCCGAGCCACAGGGAGTGGCCAGGCTGCGGGGGTGTGGTGCCCAGGCCACCAGTGACCACTGCAGTCACGGCACGGGACCTGCCCCAGGGTGTAGCCACCTCTTCTGAGGTGACTGGGTTGTGATGGGGGTCATGACCCCCCAGATCCTGGTCCTTCAGCAGAGGACACGTTGACCTAGACCAATGGCTTAGGCCTTCCCTGCGAGTCTCAGGACCGGAAGCAAGTGGCCTTGTGCTGGCGTGGGCCGACCAGCAGTGTTTGGGGCAGGGTGGGCCCAGACAGCCCCGGCTTCTTGCGATGTGGGCCTGGGCCTTGCACCAGAGGGTGGCAGATGAGGCCCCTGCAGTCCAGTGTTGAGCCCGCTTCCAGTTGGCAAGTTTGGGGCGGTGTAGCTGGAACCCGTCCCTCCTGAGGCTCTAGCGTGGCCGGCCTTGTGCCTGTGTGTCAGGGTCAGAAAGGCGCTTCCCACGGGCACCTAAACGCAGAGCCTCCAGCTTGGCATCCGCCCGCTGGCCTGCCTGAACCTGTGGAGGTGAAGACAGCAGGCATCTTGGTGCTGGGAGGGCCACCCCGGGTGACAGCTGACCAGCTCCAGAGAGGCAAGGTGGGGTGTATCCACACGCCAGGGCCACGGGGGCCCGAGTCTGTACTGAGTGTCAAGGGAGGAGATGGGGGGCTCGGGGGCCAGGATCACTGAACGTCTTGACAGCCCACGCCCTGGAGAACCTGAGGCCTGGGCAGTTTGAGTGCAGGGGGGACCCACACCCCTGTGTGTGAACCCCTTGGCCCCTGCGGGAGCCCAGGTGTGCACCCCTGGCAGCCCTCACCTCGCTTGCAGGGGGCCCCCAGGTGGCAGCCTCCCTCTTCCTGGGGACGTTTCTCATCAGCTCGGGCCTCATCCTCTCCGTGGCTGCATTCTTCTACCTCAAGCGTGCCAGTAAGCTGCCTGACGTCTTCTATGGAAGAAACAAAGGTACCCCTCCTGCCGGGGTGTGCCCGGGGGCACGGAGCGGGGCTGGGGCCGAGATGCAGGTGTCCGGTGCGAGGCCGCATCTGCGGCACCCTGGAGGGGACTGGGTTGTCACGTGGCTCTCGGGCCTGAGGATAAGAGGGGCGGTCACGTCCTGGGAGTGCTCTGGGTGGATGTCGTGGGGTCTCAGTGTGGAGGGTGACGGGGGCAGACACTCTGCAGGCCGGCTTGTCTGCTCTGGTGGGAAGCTGGGGGTGGGGGCGGCTGGCCCCAGAGCGCTGGCAGGACACCACTGGAGTGTGGTGGGAGATGGGGCCGGGCAGGCTGAGGGCACCACTGGGCACAGGAGTGAGGGACTGGAGTGAGCCTGGAGCCGGGGACCCTCTGCAGGCTTGTGGAACCCTCAAGCTGATGGACCCCCATCTCAGGCCTGTGGACCCCTGCCCAAGCTGAGGGCCCAGCAGCAGAGGCTGAGGGTCCCTCCCAGACTGAGAGACCCCTGTCCCGAGGCTGAGGGACCCCCGCCCAGGCTGAGGGCCCCCCCAGGCTGAGGCAGCTGTGTGGCCTCCAGGTGACACCTGTGCTCTCCCCTACAGCCCCCAGCCTGCAGCCTGGCGAAGCTGTAAGTACCTGATAGGCGGGCTGAGGCCCCGTGTGTGTGCGTCTGGGTGTCTGTGTGTCTGGGCTGGGGGCCATCCCATGTCCAGTTCTCACTGTGCCTTTTCCCCTTTTCAAGGCCGCGATGATTCCCCCACCTCCGTCCTCAGGTGCGTCAGTGCTTTCCTGTCCCTCGCCCTGTCGGGATGCCTCGTCTCTGGTGGGAATTTCAAAACGCCAGGCCCATGGCCGCTGCAGGGGTGCCGGCCAAGCCCCTCTTCATCATCCACAGCTTTCGTGCCTTTTCCCTTTTATTCCTGAGATGCTGTGTCTGTCGAGGGGGGCAGGGTGTTCCCAACACGGGTCAGGGGTCAGCCCTGCCGCCCTCAGCCCTCCACCAGGTCCCAGCTCTGCCTGAGCAGGGAGCCAGTGGCCGGCGCGGGGCCCTCCCGTGGTCCCTCCTGAGCAGTAGCTGTGTCACAGTTGACCCTGTGAGCACAGAGGTCACATCACACAGGCCACCTGCCTCTTCCCCAGACCGTGTTCCTGCCACCGTGTGGAGGTCTGGAGTGGGGACAGGTGAGGACATCCTCCTCCTTGGGGACAGAGAAGTCCCTCGGTCAAGGCGAGATCTGCCCTGTCCAGTGAGACACTTGTCTGATCTCTCCAAAGCAGCACCATGTCCAAGCACAAGGTGCCTGCGTCAGTCTCCTGGGGCGGCCGTAACAAAGTATGCAGCCCCGGGGGCTCGGGAGAACAGAAGTGTCTTCTCTCACGGTTCTGGAGGCCACCTGCTCCCTCCGGAGGCTCTGGGGTGGGTCCTTCCTGCCTCTCCCAGCCTCTGGGGCTCCAGGTGTCCCTGGGCTTTTGGGGCCGCGTCCCTCCAGCCGCTGCTGCGTCTTCCGCTGGCTTCTCCCCTCTGTATCTCCCTCCCTCTCCCGAGGCCACTGGTCGCTGGATTTAGGGCCCATCAGATAATCACATCTGCAGAGACCATTTTTCCAAGTAAGGTTGCACCCGCAGGTTCTGGGTCTTAGGGCGTGGACACGCGTTTGTAGTTGGGGGGATACCATCCACCCTGCAGTGCATCACATGACCTGTGCCTTTGTGTTTCGGGAGAGCCGGGCCCTCTCCCGGGCCGAGGGGCACCAGGTGTCCGGGAGCTGGAGCCCGGTGGGCTTCCTCCCTGGTGGCTGCTCCAGCCCCACTCCCGTGAGCCCCAGGGAGGCCCACGACCCCAGGCCCTCCCTGCCGCCCCAGGCCCCACTCTGATCCCGCCTGTCTCTGACCCTGTTTCAGTGCGGAAGCCGCGCTACGTCCGGCGCGAGCGGCCCTCGGACAGGGACGTGGGCCCCACTGCCGTCTCCTCCGTGGAGGCCCGGGTGAGCAACGTCTGATCCCGCGGCCCATCCACAGCCCCGCGTGCTGCTGAGGGGGGGCCCACACGAAGGCTGGGCGCTGCCCAGCGAGGCCTCAGGACAGGCCTGCACACGGCCCTGGCTCGTCCCTCTCTAGCCACAGATGTGGAGTGAGAGCTGCCTGCCCGCAGGCCTTCCTCAGCGCACACAGCCGCTCAGCGTGACTGACCCGGGGCAGCACTCCAGCCTCTGGCCCTGAGCCGGGCCGGGGAACCAGGCCGCATGGGGTCCAGGCTCCTCGGGAGAGACGACCTGCAGGACCCGGGTGCCCCTCCGCCTTGGAGCGCATGGTGGGCAGACCCCCCCCCCCCCCCCCCCCCCCTGAGAGCAGTGAGCCCGAGGCCTTTGGGGGGGTCCGGCCGCATCCATACACAGGCAGTTTGGGGCCTGCAAACCGGCCCCCGGGCTCAGGCGCCCGCAGGGCTGTCCTGCGCGGCCACAGCTGCCCACTTCCAGGCGCCGTGGGAGTGAGTCGCCTGGCCTCCTGCTGACTCTTACCTGTGCTTAAGCAGAAAGCACTTTGCACAGAAGTCCAAGCGGCACGCTGCCCTCGTCTGCACCCCGCCTGCGCCCCAGGCACTGGAGGTCCTCATCCACCTTGGGATGGACACTGGCCCGAAGCTGCTGGAGGTCGAGACCCCCCAGGGACGTGTCAACCCGGGGCCACGTTTACCTGTGACTGCCGCCTGGACTGGCTGTCTCGCTGGACCTGCCGAGGGCCGCCCTGGCCAGCAGTCCCGTCCCGCTGCCCCCGCCCCGAGGCAGCAGCCCGTGTTCCCTGCCTCGGCCGGTTGCGGAGGGACGGCTCTGGGTTCCTGTGGAAATGGGGGAGCGTCGGGGTGCCCACTGAGCACGGGCAGGGTGCTGCCTGGCCTCCCCAGAGCCTCCACGGGGACTGACGTTTTCTCCTCCGGTGTCTGGTCCACGTCCGCAGGGCCCACGGCAGGGCCTGTGTGGCCAGCCTCCTGCTTTCTGCACTGGGATTCCCACTGGGGTGTTTGTGGTTTATGGACACAAGCTCGGTCGCCAGGACATGAACGATGACTGACCGGCAGCTGAGAGGGGCGGCCACCTGAAATCAGCATCAATAAACCACTCAGGCCCTTCTCGCCGGCCCAAGGTTCACCAGCTCCTCAGCAGGGGTGGAGCCTTGCTGCTGAGCCCTGCCTCGCACTGGGGAGGGCGGGGAGCTCTCAGGATCTTAGCCTCGGGAGAAGGGGGCTTGTCCCAAGCTGCCTCAGAGAGCAGGAGTCCCTGGTGGCCCCCAGCCGTCAGGACTGAGATGGGAAAGAGTGTGGGTGCCCCCAGGGGGGCTTTTCTGTAAAGTGACCGGGCCCATGGGGGACATGCAGTCACGGGTGACTGCAGGCCCCCGTGCGGCCAGGGCACCCATGGGGCCTCTCGGGGAGGTCACCGTGGTGCCTGGCTCAGAGCCCCCAGGAGGAAGCTACACGTGGGTACAGAGTGCAGGCTGGCGGCACCTTGGGGAGGTGGGGTCCCGTGGGTGGGTGGCCCTCGGAGGGACCTTTGCCGACTGGCAGCGGGCTTCATCCCGGGCGTCCCAGTCAGAGCTGCCAGGACACAGCTGGGGCAGGGCAGAGAGCCTGGCCCACCCCGTCAGGCTTGCAGCCATCGGGGCACCCAGGGGGCGTCTGCTTGGCCCTGGGTGCTGCGTCAGCACAGCCAGGGCTGCGGGGAGGCTCTGCCCTCTGTTCTGGGGGGCGGCTGCCCGGGAACCTCCTGCCTCCAGGCTGACAGCCTTAAGGGGCTGTGGGTCGCCCATGGGGTTCCTGTGGGCGCAAGATGACCCTCGGCTTCCCTGGGGCTCCCCAGAGCCCCTCTTCTCTAATGTCCTGTCCCCTGCCCTGCCTGCAGCCCCCAGCCTCAGCCCTGCCCCATCCCCGGCAGCAAAACTCAACTCTGCATTTCAGCCTGCAGCCCTCTGGTCCCCACACGTGAGATGCTTCCCCTGACTTCCCAGGCCTATGTGGCCTGGTCTCTTGGGCTCTCAGCTGCCGGAGACCCCTGGGCCTGGGTGCGACTGTCTCAGGCCCCCAAATAGTTGGGGGGGCATCACTGGACTCGTGAGCCCGTGACCCTGATGGGCATCCTGGCCAGAAAGCGGTGGGCAGGGTTGGGGGGCACCCGAGATAGGGTGGGGCAGCTGGCAGGCGCAGGGTGTCTGGGCCGGGCACCACGCACAGCCGCCTCCCCAGTTTCTCTCCGTCACCCATTCCTCACCCGGACTCCAGGCCCTCACGTAAGAAGCCAAGATAAGGCCGATTTGTGGGCTAGTCAGTTCGGGCCAAAGCAGGCAGGTGGGGCGCCTGTCGTCCCCCCAGCCCCACTGTGTCAACCGCCACGGGGACCCCTGCCCCGGGAGGTGAGCCCGGCCCGGGGGCCACGCTGCAGCTCGCTCGTCCATTCATCCGCTCACTCAGCGCCGGAGGAGCACCCAGAGCTGTCAGAAGTCAGAAGTCAGCAAGAGGCCGCACCCACTGCAGAGGTGGGAGGTGGCAGCACAGGGCAGGGCGAGCGGGGCCTGAGGGGGTGACCTGAGGGCAGAGGGCCTGGCAGGGGCCTGGGCGCCGGGCCCCAGTAGGAGCCGACTTCCAAGGCCAGGCCGACTTTGGGGACCAAGCTCACTGCTGGGTGCTGGAGAGACAGGACCGGAGGAGTCCCCCTCATGGCCAGAGGGCCTCACCAAGCCTGTCGGGAGCCCAGAGTGTGTGTGGGGACGGGTGGGCGGGGGGGGGGGGGGGAGGCCGGGCGCAAGTGCGCCCCCCCGAGCCCCGGCTTCAGCCCAGCCTCTGGCCTGTGGGGGACACCAGAATCTACACCCGTGTGGGGACCTCTCCCCACACTGGCCGTTTCGTGTGCCCCTGGCAGCCCTCAGGGATTTGAAGCCGGTCCTCACCCCACCCCTTGAGGGACAGGCCTCTCTCCTGCTCCTCTGGCCAAGGACAGCTTCTGTGTCCAGCCCAGGACTCCCAGGTGTCCTGAGGGCTCCAGGACCCCACATCTGAGAGCCGCAACTGGACAGGGGCGGTCGCCGTGGGCCTCGTTCTCTGCCCGGTCCGGCAAGTGAGTCCCAGCCCCAGGGTCATGTGCCGGCCGCCGTGCTCCCCTCACGCGTGCACACACCTGCACGCGCACAGACACCTGCACACGTGCGCTCGCACACCCAGCCAGGTTGGGTTGGTGAACAGCTCACCCACTCAGGCGAAGCCCACGCTCACACCTGGAGCAGCTGCTCTTCCCTCGTGAAGGTGGAGAGCAAGCAGGTGTGTGGGGACCAGGTGGGCCCCAAATGTGCTGAGATCCCGTGCGGTGAGCCCTGGCCACCACCGCAGATGGCACATCCCTCAGGTGTTCCTGTCCCCTTGCCTCTGGGCACTGACTGTCCACTGAGGAGCCTGGAGGTTCCCAGGAGCCCTTGGGAAGGTGTTCTCAGAGGACCGAGGATGCCTCCTGGAGGCAGCATGTGACCGACCCCGAGTCCCATCTCGCACGGACTGGCCCGCCCCTTACAGAGACTCCTCACCCCCTCGTCAAGCCCCTGGCTGAGGCTCCTCCCCCCTCCTGGAGCACACGGGAGCCCCAGCCCCTTCCTAAGCCCAGGTCCCCTCCGCCCCTGCAGCCACCCCACAGCTCAGCCTCCTTGTGGCTGCAGGCCTGGCTGCCCCCCCAGCCCGCTGTGGCTCCTCTTGGGGTCTGGCCCAGGCAGCCTGCTCTGGGCACCCACCTCCTAACGCTGAGGGAGGGTCTTCCTCTTGCTGACCTCTGACTTCTGTTGGCTGTCAGTGCCTCTCCTAGTGCTACTGGGGCTGGGCAGCCTCCGGGGGTCCTGGACTACCCGCTGAGGAGTCAGGGGGCCCCTGCCCAGTGGGTGGGGATGAGGTGGGCCGTCCCCCACCAGGGTGGACCGCTGCTCCCAGCCTCGCCAAGCCCAGCATCCCCTCCCCACAGGCTCGTGACTGGGGTCCCATCTCAGGAGGGCTGGGCCCCAAGTCTAGATCAGGTGCACACTGAGGTGTGCTGCGTGCGGCTGGGGGGTGGGGGCAGGGACGCCACGGGGTGTGGGGGAGAGCCTGCTGTGACCCTGGGGCCAGGATCAGGTGTCAGATGGGGGAGCCCCTGGCTAGGACCCGGGCCCCTCCAGCCCAGCCCTCACCCCCTGCATCCTGCCCTCCAGCCAGGCCTCTGCACAGGCTGGCCCTGTGGTCTGCTGGGACCCCGTACCTACTGGCTGAAACCGCTCCCCGTCCCCCGGGAGACTTCCGGCTCCCCTGGCTGGGTGGGCGCTGCCTTGGAGTCCCTGCCCTACATGTGTAACTGAGGTGCCCCAGCAGACGCTCCCCTGAAACAAGTTCGTGTGGCCAGCCTGGCACCTGGCCCGCCCTCACCGCTGGCTCAGCCCTTGGGTGCTCCCAGCCCTGACCCCTCACCCCACTCTCTGGACCCAGAGCAGGGAGCTCCCTCCCGGCCCCCAAAGGCTGTAGGTGGGGAGGGATGGGCGGGGGCAGCAGAAGCCCAAGTTTGGGGTGGGCAGCCACACGGATGAGGCAGGTGTTGGGGCGAGGGGCAGGGGCTGCTCGGGCAGCACGTCAGTGAGCTGATCGTGAGTGGGGGGCTCCTGGCAGGGACCCTCCGGGGGGCCCACCAGGAGCTCAGGTGCCGCCACCTGGAACAGGGTTGGTGAGCAGATCTGTTTCCAGAGGGGCTGCTCTGGCATCTCAGGGGCCACGGGGGTAGGGGAGAGGTTTCACCCAGGCATCCAGCCACCCCACCAGACCTGCCCAGACTACAGAGCCCTACCGACCCCTAGCCCCACCCCAGGCTCCACCCCAGACCTCTCACTTCTGACTCCCCGCCCTCGGCTGGCTGCCCAGCCTGCCAGGGACAGGACAGAAGGCCAGCCAATCCCGGAAGCGGGCCGCGCCCCCGGCCAGCATGATCCCAGCAAGTGTATAAATACACCTGCCGGAAGCCCACGCCCAGAGAACTCACACCTGCCTCAGACAGCGCTCCACACCTGGAGGAGTGCACACACCCGCCCCCCCGGCGGCCCTGGAGAGGAACAGCAGCCAGGCCCGGAGGGGAAGGACCCAGCGCTGCCAGGACGAGTGAGCTCGCGGCCGCAGCCTGGCCGTGCCAGCCAAGAGGGTCGTGCCTGGGCCCCGCTGACCCCGGCTACCAGGTAAGGCTGGCTCAGCTGGCACTCACCTCTCACCTGTACGGGCTCAGGGTGGGGCCCCTCCTTAGAGGGATGGGGCCTCCGTGCCAAGGAACCGGTTATGTGGGGTGAACTGGCTGGGGCAGGACAGCCTGTAGTACCCCCAGACCCTGCTGAGGCTGCCGCCTGGCCTGTGGTAGCTGCTGTCACCAAACGTAACGACGCTTCATGCTGCGACGCCGGGGCACTGGTGTCACCGTGACTCACGGCGGTCACCGAGCCTTCGTGACACGTCACTGCGAAGTCATCCCACCACCGCTCCTGGACTGACCAGCAAGTCAGGGTCAGGTCACCCCTGGGGGGCCTCCTGGGCTCCATGGGGTCACGTGGCCAGCGTCTTCCCAAGGCCCTGGCCTCCTCCGTCCGTCGTGAAGGTGAAGGGCGAGCCAGCCCCTTACCCGCCCTCCTCCAAGCAGGAGCCACGTGGCTGCCTGGGAAGGAGACGTGGGCCCCGTGAAGGGGCAGCAGGCAAGGGGGAGAAGGTCCCACTGCCTCCTGATGGCAGCTGTGGCTGGTGTGACGCTCCCAGGTGGCGGGCCGGCCTAGGGAGGATGGCTGGGGCCCATCCAGCACCCCGCCCCCCGCTCCCCTGGCCACAGGCTGAGGATCACTTCCAGGCCCTGAGGGCCAGCACCAGGCAGCCCTGCAGGTTCAGGCCGTGGCTGGGGGACAAACCTCCTCCTCGGGCCACGGCCACCACCCTTGCTCGGGCCCTCCAGTCTCCCGCAGCGCATCCAGCTCAGGCCGGCTCTAGATCCAGAGTCCCAACCCTCACCCAGCCAGGCCTGGCACCCACCCTCACACAACTGCCCGCAGATCGTGCATGCCAACCAAATCGGCCGCCCACACTGGGATCTGTGTTCAAACCCACTTCACCTGACCCAGAGCCACACTCCTCCTGTGAGAGCCTGGGCCCCGCTGGCTGTCACCCCAGCCTCCGAGCCGCCTCTTCTGCACCGTGGCTGTTCTGTATCATGTGCCCAGGGCCCACCCTGGCAGAGCCCCGATGTAAATAGTAACTGTTGTGGGCCATCGTCATCATCACCTTTATTTCTGCCCAGTGGCACGTCCAGGTAGGCCAGGGCTGGTGGGAGGGGTCTACAGAGCAGTGGTCCACAGGGCCCAGGCAGGCTGGGACACCCCAGGATGCTGAGCCCTGACTCAGCAGGTGAGGGGCTGGGGAGTGCAGGGTTACAGCTTGAGCAGAAAGACCTTGAGCCAGGGACAGGTGGGACTTGGTGGGGGTGCCTGCAGATGGGCAGTGTCCTTCCCGGAATCTCTGGGTGATGCAAGAGAGGGACGGGGAGACAGCGACAGACAGACCTTGCAGGAAAGGGGCAATCGAGGTCACTCACAGGGGTCTCTGTTTGTCCCACAGCCCAGAACCATGTCATCAGGCCCGCAGGTGTGGCACACGGCCCTGCCGTCTGCCGGCAGGAGCAGCCCCACCGCCACAGTGCCCAGGTCCCGCGGCTCGGCCGGCAGCCCCAGGTCCCCCGGCAGCCCTGGCTCAGAGAAGGCGGCCTCCCCACTGGAATGCTCCATCTGCTTCTCGGGCTACGACAACATCTTCAGGACACCCAAGGAGCTCTCCTGCACCCACGTCTTCTGCCTGGAGTGCCTTGCGCGGATGGCAGCCGCCCGGCCCACAGGCCAGCCGGGTAGCGAGGTCGTGCCCTGCCCGTTCTGCCGGCGGCCCACAGCCGTGCCCATTGCCGGGGTCCCCGCGCTGCACACCAGCCGCCAGCTGCAGGCTCAGATGCCAGCACACCTGCGGCGGGAGGAGCCCGTGTGGCTGGAGGGCACCAAGCTGTGCTGCCGCCCGCCGCCCTCTGCGCCTGGCCCTGCAGCGCCCGGCTTTGTGTACGTGGATGTGAGCCCGAGCAAGCCCGCCACGCCCGCAGCACCCGTGCCCACCCCGGGCCCTGCCCGCCGTCAGGGCTGCCTGGCCCGCTGCTGGGCCTGCCGCAGGGACTGGAGGCGCGCGGCACTCATCGCCGTGCTGCTGCTCGCACTCTTATGCGTGGTGCTCTGGCCCGTGCAGTGCGCGCTCAGGACCGGGAGCCTGCACTGCCTCCCCCGGCCACCCCCCGCCGCCGCCCCCGGCGCCGCCACCTTCTCGCTCGGGTCGCTGGCTGACAACTAGGGTTACCGCCCCCACCCCCGGGATCCCAGAGGAGCCCCCTGGGATCTCTGAGGAACCCACACCCGGTTCGGCACACCTGCCCCCGCTCTCTGGGGCTGGCTCCTGTCGGGTGGACAAAATGGTCCCCCGAGCTCCCAGGGATCACAGATCCCTGTGGGCCTCAGAGGCCGCCCCCCTAACTTCCATCTTGCAGATGGGGAGACTGAGGTCCAGGAGAGAGCTTGGCGAGGCCCCTTCCCCATACACACTGTGAATCGCACGCAAGACCAGCCCCTTGCTGAAAAGGGAGCGGGCTCGCCATCTTTCTTTCATTTTCACATTTCGCCCACGGCTCCTCCCTTCCCCAGGCAGGGCTGGCCCCTTCCCTCAGGTGGCCAGGGGGACAGAGGGCAGTGGCGGGGAGCCCAGCCCACCCTCCTGAACTGTACATTTTTAAATAAACTATTTTGTACTTGCAATTGGTAAGGGGTCCTCACTCTCTGTGTCCTCTTTCCTGCACCATTAAGCCCCTCCCTCCAGAAAAACCCCCAGTCTGCCCCTTCTGCAAAGACCCTCAATCCAGAGGACACCCCCACTGGACTGCACTCCCAGCAGCACCTAGGGTGGATGGTCGCAGGTTCTAGGGCGTCCGACTGCTGTCCCCTCTGGGCTGTGGATGGGCTGCGGCACTTCTGGACTTGGCTGCCCCCGGGGGCCGTGAGGCTCTCCCAGGGAGATGGAGAGGGCCTGGGGCACCTGGGGCAGGCGGGACTGCTGTGGGGCCTTGGCCTGGTCCAGGGCCCTCCCCCCCAGCCCCCACCACGGTCACACCAGGCCGCCTCCCCCAGAAGTCACGGCCCCACAGTCCCGCCTGGAGCCCTGACTGGAGGGCCGCAGGACCCCGTGGCCCCCGGGAACCGAAGTCCAAGTGTGCACGGAAGAGGGGCTGGCGACAACCAGCGTGTCCTGAAGACCCACAGACCTCAGGCTCCTCCAGCAGACCTTCCCGGGCTGGGCCAGGCCTGGCTGGTGAAGCGAGTGTCGCGAGGGCGGGCGGGAGTCCTGCCAGCCCCCACCCCTCCCCGACCCGGTTCTGCCCTCAGCCCCAGGAATCCTGCACTGCCAGCTTGGCATGGCAGAGAGGCCAGGCCGGTCTGGCTCTCGCACAGGTCCAGCCTCCTCACCCCTCACCCCAAAGCCCAGGACTTCCTGCTCCTACCAGCTGGGCCTCTGGCTCAGGGACGCCCTGGGGAAGCTGGGCCCAGTCGTGGGGACCCACACGCTCTCTTTCTCCAGGCCCCAACAAAGACGCAGAACTGAGAAGAAGGCATTTTACTGAGGGGACCACAAAGCCACAGGGACATCCATGAGGGGAGGGTGCAGCCGTGGACCACAGGCCAGTGACATCACACCATCACAAACCAGCCAGGCACACATGGAGCCCCGCCCTCATCACCGTGGTCACACAAGCACGTCACATATTCTCTCATTCAACAAACACGTGTTCACTCGTGACAGCAATGTGACGGTCTGGGCTAGGCCTGGACACGGCAGGGACGGAGCCACTGCCTGGCCCACATCCTAGACCACGGCTGTGGGCAGGGCTGAGAAGCAGCTTTGAAGGGGTGGGGGGCATGCAGGATGCAGGGGAGAGGGGCACAAACGCTGGTGACCACGGACTGGCACTCAGTTGCTGGTCACTCGTGTCCCACATACAGGCTGACACTCAAACGGGTGGCACACACAAGGTCACACATCGTCACTGCGCCGTGCAGGTGGTCACTGGTGGCCTCCCACACTGAGACAAACCGCAGCCCTGCAGCCCTGCCTCCCCTCCTCCAGGAGGGGCAGGGACACCGGATCTCCTAAACTTCCCTCACCATTTCTGGACGTGCAGACCTGGTCAGGGAGGGTCTGAGGGGCAGACCCGGGACCCCCGCCCCCCAACCCCGCAACGCTCTGGGCTGGGCGCCGGTCTGCACAGTCCTAAACACAGTCCTTTGGAGGAACGCGAGGGCCGGCCTTGCTGGGCTCCCGCCTTCTCGCACGGCTCCAGCCCCAATCGGGGCGCGCGCACTCGGGGCCCTCACGGCCAGAGGCGCAGCAGGTTCTCGTACACGTGGCCGGAGGCCTCCGGGGTGCTGCGGGCGGAGACGGGCTTCGGCTGGGGGCCACCTGCGATCCCGCCCCCTCGCCCCGGGCCACGCCCCCACGCCCGGGCCACGCCCCCGAGGCCTCCCTGCCGGGACTCCGCCCCACCCCCAGCCCCGGTCCCTGACGCCCCACTCACGCCGCCGGCGCCCGGGACGGCGCGGTTCCGGGGCTACAGCCGGGGTCGGCGGGCGAGGCGCCCACCTTCAGGGAGTCGCGCTCCTCGGGCGGCTCGCGCTGAGGGGAGGGGCCGCTGGTCACCATGGTGATGCCCCCGCTGGTTCCGCCCCGGCCCGGCCCTGCCCCCACCTGCTCGCGCAGGCGTAGCTGCTCGCCCCGGATGTACCGCTGCAGCGCCAGGTACACGAACTTGTACTGCGCCTCGGTCTGCACCATCCCCGAGCGCTGCCGCCGCACATGCTGGATCGTCTTGGGGACGTCGATGTCGCAGTCCAGCCCTGGGGACGAGCGAGCTCAGGGCGGGGCGGTGAGGCAGGGAGGAGGTGGGAGGGCCAGATGAAATAGGCGGGGCCGGCAACTGCAGGAGGGCGGGGCTAGATGGAAGGGGAGGGGCCGGTACCGGGGCGGGGCTAGATGGGAGGGGGCGGGGCTCGGTTGCGGGGCGGGGCCTGCCTGGGGTGGCTCACCCTGCCTGCGAATGACGTCCACCAAGATGTCAATCACAATGATTGTGCCAGTGCGTCCGATGCCGGCGCTGTGGGGACGGACCAGGAGGCCTGTGGCCAGTTGACGGGACAAAGCCGTGGCCCCTTCCCCGGTCGCACCTGTGCCGCTGGCCCCGCCCCGTCCCTGGTCGCACCTGCAGTGCACTACCATGGGTCCGGCCCCCGGCATGCCGCTCTGGGCCCGGTTCACCTCGTCCAGGAAGCCAAGGACGCCGGTGGGCTCGGCCGGGACTCCGTGGTCCGGCCAGCCGAAGTACTGGCAGTGCGCCACTGTACGCGGTGACTCCTCCTGGGCAGGGCGGGCTGGTGAGCGCCAACCGGGGGGTCTGGGCGGGTCCCAGGCGCCCCGCGCAGTGTCGGGGCTGACGCTGCTGTGACCCTCGGTGGGGAGGGGCCCAGGGACTGAACCGGGAGGAGGCAGGCTGTGGCGCGGTGGGGTTTGCCAGAAGGAGTGACCAGCGGGGCCCGGACAGAGCAAGAGGGAGTGGGAGGAAAAGATGGGATTCAGGGCTTGGGGGACCCCCCCAGATGGCCCCAGGAGGCTCAGGTGCCTGGGGAAAGGAAGAAGGATGGTCTGGGGGAGAGAGCAGCGTTCTGGGAAGTGAATTCGATTTGGGAAAGGCCAAATGCAGAGGCTGGCAGGACCCCCCCAGGTGCTTAGACAAAGGGAACTGGCCAGGAGGGATCTGTGCCTGGGACAGGAATGGGCACCACCAGCGTACAAAGGAGGCCGAAGGTGCTGAGACGGCCCAGGGAGGGCTGGAGGGAGAGGTGCATGTGGGTGTGAGGCCGCCCTGGAGCCAGGCAACTGTGGCTGAGAACGTGCCCGACTGGAAACACTGCCCAGCAGAGCCCAGTCCAAGACTGTGCCCACTGGATTGAGGGACGTGCAAGCCACCAGGGCCAGCCCAGGGCCTCCTCACCCCAGCGCAGACCTGGGGACTTCCCGACCACTCTGACCCTGGCCCCACAGGTCTCATTGCCCTCCAGGCTCACCTGGTCTGCCCGCCACACCTGCAGCTCCCTCACACAATAGCCCTGGGCCTGGTGCTCAGCAACGTTGCACACACGCAGGCGGCCATACTCTTGGCTGCCGTGCAGCTCTGGCCAGTATCGGAAACACTTGTTCTGGGAGGGTGGGGGCATGGCATCAGCCATACTGGAAGACCACCAGCACCCTTGCCCCTCTGCCCCGTGGGACACAGACGGGGTCTCTTCAGTGCCCTCCCTGCTCCCCCAGCATCCCTAAGACTGAAGAAGCAAGGCTGGGCCAGCACCAGCACCGGTCCAGTGGGGCACGCGGCAGGCGGAGGGGAGGGACACGAGCCTGAGCCCCTACCCGGCCTCGCTCCACCTCTCTGGTGGTCATGACGATGACACGCGTGTTCTCCTGGTGCACCATGGCCCAGAAGGCAGCCGCCGTAGTTGGCAGACAGCCCTGGGTGGCGATGTACACCTTGCCTGGTCCGTGGCCTGGCTTCTCCTCTGGGTCACTCTGAAAGGAGGTGGGGTCCACTGCCTGCTGTTTCCAGGGATTAAAGTGCCAGAGGACCAATGCAAGTTGATGCAAATGATATGCAAAGTAGCCCAGTGGCTCACACGCAGTCCGCTGAGGGTGGGAGGGTCTTAGGACCAATATTTAGTCCAGCAGGCTCTGAAGACCCCTCTGAGGACCCCTTGTGGACTGCCGCACCCTGAATATCTGAATATCCCCCTGAATATCTATTGTCTTGCCAAGGTCCACAGATCACTTCAGAGCTCCAGGCTCATTATTATGGGGGATGGGGTGACTGGTGTTTGATCCACGCGGGGCCACGTGTGCAGCTGGCCACCCACACCTCATGCACACTCACCCTGATGTAGTTGGCGTTGATGTAGTCGGCTCCAGGCGCGCTGTCCTCCACATCACGCAGGATGACACGGGTGGTATCAACTGGGAAGGGAAGATGCCGCTTAGGTCTCCAGGGCAGAGGGGATGCTCGTGGACCCCACCTGCTTCCTGGCCCGCTGACCCGTGGTGAGCAGAGACAAAGGACGAAGGGGCAAGAGGGGGCATCACACTACTGGTGGGGAATGACCCCTGCCTTCACCCTCCAGGACCCCTCTGCCAGATGGGCCCCTGAATGTGGTGAATGGAGCCCTGGCCCCCCATGTGGCCCCAGGCCCCGGCCTCACAGGGGAGGATGTTCTTGTATCGGTTCTTGGGCTTGTTCTCCAGCCGCTGGCCCTCTTTCCGGGGATACAGGAGCCGGCATTCCTGCTGCTGCAGCATCTGGGGGAAGTGGGGCTTTAGCCCGTGGCCCCAACCCTTCCCCGGAGCCCTCAACACCCGCTCACATCCCCGACCCACACCCCTCTGCTGGCCCTTGTCACAGCCCCAGAGGATGGGAGTTGGGGCGGGTGGGGGGGCGGAGCGGGCAGCAGTCCGGCACCTCGAACTCCTCCCAGAAGCCCTGCTTGGCCTTCTCGCTGGCATCCATGGCCTCGTTGAGCTCCCGCACACGGCTCTCAATGCTTGTGGCGCTGATTCTCGTGGTCTTGAGGGGCTGGCAGGGAGAGGCCCGCGTCCAAGCTTAGCAGGGTCCAGCGGACCCCACAGTGCCCCGGCGCCCACACCCTTGCCCTCGGCCACCCGGCGCCAGCCTGATGTCCTTTTTCCCGGGTGGGGCTGTGCCAGAATCCCTTGCCCCCCCAGGTGGAGAAGCCCACTCAGAGCCCAACGTTCAGGTGCCCAGGGGCATACCTGCTGGAGGTGCACTACAGTCCCCGACCTCTCCACCAGAGGGTTCTTCCTGTAGCATTCCACCAGATCTCCCAGGGTGTCAAACCTCTTGCCACCTCCCACATCGTACTTCCCATCTGGCTGTGGGGACGGCAGTGAGCGGCCGGTGGTGCCCCCTCCCGTGGGTCACCCCCCAACCCCGGCCACTGCCTCCTACCTGGAAGTGTATCATGACATGGGTGACGCGTGCCTGGCGGTCCGCCCTGTCCAGCTGCTGTGTGAGCACTGACAGCACGAAGTCCCCAGGTTTGCTCTGACTCTCCCGAACCAGGAAGCTGCCCGGACGCCCCTTCTGCATCAGCAGCTTCTCGGCCTCCTGGCCAGACAGGTGCCCGTGGTACCACCTGGCCCAGACGGCACAGGTGAGACCAGGGGCCCCGGCCTGGCCCGGTGAGGGACACAGACCCACATGTAGCCTAAGGCTCTGAGACACAGATACCGAGAGAGGCACAGACCCACCCAGACCTCGGGGGCCCAGGCAGCACCCGCACCCAGGCCAGCCTCCGTCAGCCCTGCCCACCTCTCCGACCCTCCTCCGACCCAGAAAGCAGCAGGAGGCAGGACAGGCGGGCCCTGCAGTGCCCCAGGGTGACCACCAGGTGGCAGCCTCGTCCTCAGCAAGGAGGGGCAGGATGGTCCCCCCAGGCCAGCCGCACCCTGCTTCCTCGGCAGATGCAGCTGGCTCAGACCTCCGCAGTGCACATAGGGAAACCGAGGCTGGGGGAACCTGCTCTCCCCAAGTCACAAGACAGGAAGGCAGGGGGCAGGCTGGCTGCAGCCCTCCCACCCCGCACTCACCCCTGTGGCTGGTGCCTGGGACCTGGAAGAAACGAGGCCAGAACCCCGAGGGAGGGGGTGCAGTACGCTCCCTCAGCTTTGCCACAGCTGTGCCCAAGCCTGACCCTGAGTCCTGGGGGCAGAGGACACCCAGAGGCCATGCCCAGCGGCCCCTGCCCCCTCGGTCACTCACACGCACACCTGTGCAGACCCAGCTGCTTACCGTTCCGACGTGGGGTCCTGGCAGCTCAGCGGGTGCCAGAGCTCCACGGGGGCCCCACCACGCTCTCGGAGCAATCCCCCGCGCTGGCCTGTGTAGTGCTGCACCAGCTCGGCCAGCGTCGCGAACTTCTCCCCTCCGTACAGATCATAGTAGTCGCCTGTGTTCTGGATCTTGATGTGGGTCACCTCGTTGTGGCGCCTGGAAGGGCCGGTGCGCCAGCCGCCGTTGGGGGTTGCTGCTCCCATCACCACCCTCAGCTTCCCGAACAGTCCCTGGGGTTTTCCTGCCCTGAGATCTCGGCCTCTGCTGTCCCCCTGCCACGAACAGCACGGCCAAGGCCAGGCCCCTCCCCTCTGCAGCTCCCCGTGTCCAGCCAGTGTCCGGGCCCCACCCTGGGTGGCGGGCACCCCACCCCCACTGCCCATGGGGCAGCCAAGATCGGGCTTGTTGACCACAGGCCTGACTCTCCCTTGGCCTGGAGGCCGAGGCTGGGGCAGCCTCTCTGGACAGACTCTGCCTCATTCCAGACCACCTGCCCAGGTGCTCCAGAGGATGGGGGACTGGGGCCCCGAGACTGCTTCCCCAGGTGTCCCAGTGTGGCCTGGGAGGCCCCAGGAGAGAATGTCTGTGTCTCCAAGGTGAGGGAGGTCCATCCTGAGGGCTAACCTCATCCCGCCCACTGCCCAGGTTTAGTAGAAAACCCGGAAGGATCTGGAGCCCTTTGGGCAGACCCCTCCCCAGACCCCAGACTGACCCGCCTCACCCAGGGTGGATGGACATGGATCCGGCTGTCCACTCTGCTGGTCGTGACTCCTCCTGCCCATCCTCCCCGCACATTGGCCCTTTCAGGGCTCCGGCAAGACCCCCAGTGGGCGGCATCCCCAGGAGATGGGGGCACGATCCCGGCCATTGAGGCCCCTCAGAGGGTGGGAGGGAGGCCCTGCCGAAGCCCACCTCACGGAGCCCTCCCTGAAGGCCTCTCTAAGTGGCCCCCGCCTGCCCAGAGGCCACCTGGCCAGGAATGCCAGACTCCCCCCCAAGATCTCGCTCCCAGCAGGGGTCCTCACTGCCCACCCCCTCTGGAAGGACTGGGGAGCCTGATCCCCAGCTGTGCCCCCAGCTGAGGGTGTTCCGACCCCTTGAAGTCTTGCGGGACCTCGGGGCCTGTCCACACCCGGCAGCACCACCCACCCACCTGACGGACAGCGTGAAGCCCCCTGGGCGGCTCTTGCTGGGTCTTGCCAGGAAGCTCCCGTGCTGGCCCTTGGACAGGAGCAGCCGCTCCGCCTCAGCCCCACCGGTGTTGGGATGAAACCACCTGGAACGAGGACAGCAAGTTGGTGACAAGAGAGCCAGGAACACTGGGCAGTACTGACCACACCCACAATGCCTGCTGGGGCTGCCCTGTGCTCACCACCGTCCTTGAGCCGTGACCACAGGGTCTGGAGTCCGTGGGGAAGGAGGGGGCGTTGGGGGGGACTGGGGACACAGGTGGGCAGACACTGACCCACAGTGGCAGGTGGGGAGGGCAGACCCCCTCCAGAGCCCCCACAAGGACACCAGCAGGAACCTCAGCTCAAGCCCTCGGCCGTCTCTCCCCCCGCCCACCGCCCACCGGGCGCCCCAGCTCAGCCGAAGGCACTCGGGAGCCCCCACGGCCACCCAGGGCTCCCTTCCTCCCCTTACAGCCCAGCAGCAGACCCTGGTGGCCCACCCCTCCCACCTTCACCGCCCCTCCCGGTCCTGGCCACCACCCTCTCCCGAGGGACCCCAGCATGGCACGCCAGTCATTGGGTCAGCACCCCCGGAACGAGAGCACAGCCCACAGGCCCGTCACCCCGGAGAGCACCCCCCACCCTGTTGCCGCCTGCCAGTCCCGGCCCCTCACCCCACCAGGCCGTGCGCCTCAGGGCCTCTGCGCCAGCTGTTCTCGGCTCCCGGCCCACGTCTAGTGACAGGGGACCCTCTCCCCTCACTCTGCGGCACCTGTTCTGCTTTATTTTTCTTCCCAGTATTGGCACCTTCTTGACATATGCTACATATTTATTGGCTTGTAGTCTATCTCCTTGATTTTAAGCCCCACAAGGGCAGTGTGTACGGCAGGGTTGAAAACAGAGCCTGGGCATTAACAAACATCCTTGAATTCAGAAGTGAGCGACCTATGAATGGGTGGTGGGTGCTGGGCGAGCCCAGAGAGTCACCATCTGTTCTGCTGGGGGTCCAGGCTGAGAGGGCTCAGCCCCACCCCCGCCGCTGCCACCGCTCTGGGACTGACCTTCACAGCCTCCCGCACGAGATGCGGGGACAGGGCAGGGGGACCTCATCAGGACTGCACACGAGCCCACGGCTGAGATCATATCATGACTGCTGTTAACTTTACCCCGGTGGCTTCTGTCTCCGTGCGTCTCCCCCATTAGGGCAGGAATTTCTGGGGCTGGGATTAAATCGTACCCGTGCGGTGGCCCCAGAGCGTCTCAGAGCAGGGTCCCTGCATGATCCCCCAGAGGGACACTGTGACACAGTATCTGGCCTTCCATTGGCAACACTGTGTCTCCCAAAGGTCACTGCAGGAAGGGCTTGGGATCTCTGGTTCAGAGGTGTGTCCCCGGTTCACTGTGCAGGTGACACACGGTGTTGGGGGTAGTCCTGCCCCATCCTGCATCCAGTGGGAAACCAGGGCCCCCAACTCCAGCTCTGCTGCCTTGCGACCCCCCCAGGCCCCGTCCAGTTGTTCGCAGTCATAACCCGGGCACAAACGGGGTGGGGCTGCTGTGCCCTGGGCAGACCCTGCCCCGCCCCACAGTTGACCCAGTACCATCTCGCCCCACTGAGATCTTTCTGGAATGGGAATCAGATCACATCTCTTGCGTAAAAGCCGGCCTGCACGCCTCCTCCGGTCCTCCTGCCGCTCCCTTGCCTCTCCTGGGCCCCTTCGTCCCTGCCGTCAGCTCCTTCCTGAACCCTCCAAGGAGCCACTGTGCTCAGTCTACATCGTGCTGTCTGACGCACAGCCCATGGCAGGTGTGGGGTGTGCAGGTGAATGGATTAAAATTCAGCAGAATCATAATCCCAGTTCCTGGGTCACAGTGGCCACGTTTCACTGCTGAAAGCCTCGTGTGGCCACTGGAGGCTGTCGACTGCGGGTGGGAAAGAAATATTTCCACCATCACAGAAAGTTGTGGCCTGTGCTGGTCCACACTGCCCATCTTCGCCTGAGTCACCACAGACCTGTTTCCCTGGGCTCTCAGGGTCTCCCCCGGCCTCCCAGGGCCAGTGGTCAGGCCTCCTTCCAGAAGCACGTACTCCACACGGGAGTTCTCCACACTCCCCTGGTTTCCCACATCAGCCGGCCTGGGTCCTCTCCCTTCTTCTGACCCCGCGGTGCTGGAGCCCCACCACCTGTGCCCTACACGTGTCTCCACGTCCACGCACTGTCTACATCTCCAGCCCCACCTGGGCTCTGAGCTTCAAGCTCATAGACACAACTCTTTCCAGTATCTCTGTCTGAAAGGTAGCAGCATCTCTATCTTAACGTTTGCAAAATTCGAAACTCCTGATAGGGCCCCTGTTCTATGCACTCCTCGCTCAGTGAAGGGGGTCACCGCCTGCCCATCACTCAGGTCCCTGCCCTCAGCTCCCCAGCACTCTCCCAATGCTGTGCCCTCTTATCCTGACCTCCAGACACCCCAGAACCAACCGCTTCTCCCACCGCCCTGGGACCAGTGCCCACCGGCTCTTGCCTGGACGGCAGTATCGACTCCAGGTCTCCAGGCCTCATGCTTCACCCTCAGCAGAGCCATGGCAGACAGAGGGGTTCTCAGAAAATGCACATCAGAGCCGTTTAAACCTTGCCAGTGGTCCTGCGTGGCTCTCAGGACGCTCACACACACCTCAAGGACCCCCCACTAGAAAGCCCCTCCCCCTGTTGTCCATCTCTCTGTTCACTGACGTCACTCCGCATCTGGCCGCCTCCAGCCGGCCCTATGGGGCACGGCTCACGCTCCCTCCCTGACCATCCCGCTGCCCCTGCCATCAACGCTGCAGCTGCATCACTGGCCCACCTTCCACGTGTGGCACCTGCAACAGCAGACGGGCAAGTACAGGCTTCTGCGTTTACCTGTCTCCCCGTGTCTTCATCACCAGACGTGAGCCCTGGGGGAGGACAGGCTCCGTTCTGACCTCCATGGCTCCCCAGGGTCCATGTACTGGTTCAGAGAGGCCCAGAAGCTCAGGTGACCTGCACAGGGCCACCCAGAGCTCCTATCCAGCTCTCCCCGGAGGAAGGAGGGATGCCACCAGCCAGGCACTTCCTGGGCACTTTCTGGGCCTGGGGTCGAGCTCCCTCCCGCGCTGGCTCTAGAGGAGTGGGGCCTGGGGGCTATTTGGTCGAGTGGTTCAGCAGATGAAGCTACCAGGGAAGGCTTCCAGGGGGAGGAGCTGCCACATGATGACCTCCAGGGCCAATCACAGGACAGCAGGCGAGGCCACCAGGAAAAGGGCGAAGGCCTCGTGCCGTCAGAGACGCGGCAGTGTGTGTGCGGGGGACACTGGAACCCAAATGAAGGCCTCCGACCCCCCCACCCTGGGGCCACCCACTCTGCTGAACCACATCCTGTGCCCAGATGCTGCCTCCCCCAGTCCCAGCAGCCTCAGACGCCAGTCCAAGATGGGCGATGCCCAGAGTGTGGGACCAGGGAGAGAGGGTGGAGGCCCAGCATCAAAGCCACAGAGCAAGGTGAAGGGCATATTGTTTGTCCTTTCTGGGACTCTCGTTCATACTTTCCATCCCTCTCTCCTCCCCGAAAGCTGCCCCGGCTCTATTGGGTAGAAATCTCCAGGGGTGGCGTATCCTGAGAGGACACGGCAGCTCACACCACAGCAGCTGCAGCCCCAGGCCAAGGTAGGCCTCACTCCCCCGACCAGGCCCAGCGGTGGAGCCAGGTGTCCGCAGGCTGGCGCAGCCGGCGGCCCCTGGCTGAGGGGCGGGACGAGGTGGAGAGGCTGCAGTCCCATCTCCAGTCTCCACACCAGGGTCACTTCTGTGCCAAAGGGCTCCCTGCTCAGTGGCAGGTTGGTGACTCAGCTCTGCCCTGGTCACATGGTCAGGCAGGCCTGGGAGAGGGGCAGGTGAGGTGGGCAGGGCACACTGGGCTCCCCATGGGTCTAACAGCCTGGGCCTGCCAAGGCCAAGCTGAGCCCAGTCAGTGCCCCGGAGTCCAAGAACAGCCCAGCCTGAACCCACTGGCCACTGTCTGGTCCAGCTTTCTGTGTGGCCTTGGTGTCCCAGCTGTAGATGGCACAGCTCCAACCCTGGGACCCTGGGAGACCCATGAATGGCCTGTCGACACGCTTACAGACACGGTACAGGGGCTGGACACACCTGCAGGGAAGACATTGTCATGATGGTGGGAGATATACAGACAAGTGGGGAGGGTCCCAGGCTGGAACTCCAGGGCTGGGGACCCCAGAGCACAGTCAGTGTTCTTCTCCATCTCCCTGCCCCCAGCCCCTCCTGGTCCCAGAGGAACCTCAACCAAGGCCTGTCCTGTCTATGCAGAACCGAACTAACCAGAGACACACTTTCCTCTCTAATCTGGAACAGCGGGGGAGCTCGAGGGTGCTCAGCAGCTCCCCATAGGACCCGGCTCCTTCCCGAGCACCAATATCAACATGTCAGGCAGCAGCAGTAGGCAGGACTTGCGCCCAGCCCTGCCCACAGCACCGGAGTCCTGGGGCGAGAGGTGCCGATGACGGTGCCCGTTGACCCACAAACCACAGGGCGAAGGGGAGGCGCCACAGGGTGGGGGCAGGTGTAGGGGGATGGGCTTCGCTTGGGACTTGGTTGGGCCTGCCCAGGCCCGATAGGGGCGTGGGCAGGGACCCGGGGGCCAGAGGAGGGACCGTCCAGAAGGCCATCACAGGGCGGGGCAGGGAGGGTTGGCGAGGGCGGGCAGAGCCGCACCGGGGCTTTCCCAGGCTGGCCCAGGGTCACATGCACATGACGCGGACATGACCTTTTCTGAGCACCAGAACTTGCCTGGGGGACAAGGAGTGAGGCCAGTGGAGCCCGAGGGGTGGTTCCAGGCAGAGCCCAAAACATCCTCCTGCCTGAGCTCCAGCTGGATGTTAAACCTGGGAATTGCAGGGCTCTGGGGCTGACAGGTTCCTGGAGACCCAACCCACTTCCACTATTCCTGAGCCTAAGAGGGCCCTCGACCCTGCCGGAGGCCACCGTGCCAGGCTCACCACACCCCTTGTAGGGATTCTGGAGCCCTCACCGCTGACGCACTGCCCTGGCCCCGCAGATCAGATCTTGTCCAGCCCCCTCACTGATCTAGGGAGTCACTCGGGGTCTTAGGGCGACCCTCCCTGTGACCTTCAGCCTCACCAAACCCCAGAGGGGCTGTTCCGGATGTGCCAGGAAGTGGCGACAGGCGTCTCACAACTGTGGCTCACCACAGACGTCCACATCCAGCTGGGGTCTGAGCTCACAGGAGTGTGTGCACACCCGGAGGGAGGGGCGGTCTGGTGGAAAGGGCAGGAAGGGCAAGTCCCGTCTTCCCTCTTCATGGAGGCCAGAAGCTGGCTTGACTTGAGCCCCGTCCCGGGTCTCACACACACCCCTGCCAGGGAGCTCACCCCTAAACTTGGTCCTTAGGAGGGTCGGGTCGGGGTGGGGGATGAGCCTGTCAAGGGACGGCTGATCCTTGCAGGTCAAGGGGCCACAACTAGAGGGGGAGACCAGAGCCTCCAGGATGGCCCCAGTTTCAGGACTGGGGAAACGGGGGACCCCACCAGGTGTAACACATCTCTGGTGGCCCAAAGGGAGCCTGGAACAAAGCAAGGAGTCCAGGGGAGTGAGAGAGGGTCTGTTACTGACCTGACACGTGCTGCCCACTCTAGGCTCCAGCCACTGCCACCCAAGAGCACCATCCATTCCCGAGGGTCAGGGTACCTCTGACCCCCCACCGAGACCCAGTCCCCGATCGGAAAGAGTCCCATCCACCCGCCGGGGTGAGGCTGGGCCTTGCTGGCCCGGGACGCGTGGAAGGGGGCAGGTGTCAGAAGGTCAGGCCTGAGCGCCACCGGTCGGGAGCAGGAGACGTCCCGGGGAGCATCTCGCCCGCACCCCCTGTCCGCGCCCGTCGGCCGGAACCGCACGTGGTGGGGTCCCGGCTTCTGGCCACCGGGAGGCCGGGCTCACCTGCGCGAGGTCATGTCGGCTGGGCTCAGGGTGCTCCGGCCGCACGGAGGAGGCCCCGCCTACCTCGAGGATCCGCCCACCGGAGCTCCGCCCACCTTAGAGGTCCCGCCCCTCCCGAGCTCCCTTAAAAGGAGCCGCGCCCTCAGGTCTCGCTACGGTACTGGGAGGTTGCACCAGTTCCCCAGGGCGCCGGGCTTCAGGACGAGGGGCTCACGCCACATCACGGGCTAGGAGGGCGAAGGCGCCAGGCGGCCCTGGTCCGAGAGGCGCGTTAAGTGATTAATTATGTGTCCTGTTCGCCTGGGTGCTTTCCTTCCAAGAACCTTTCGAGCTCCGCCTCCGTGCTGGGGGAGGAGGGGCTGCGCTCCCCGCACCCTGGGTGGAGGGGCTCGGAGCTAGAGAAGCGGGTGGAACAGGTCCCACCGGCCCCGCGTCCCGGAGGGGGACCCCCGAGGGGCGGAGGTGGGAGCCCACGTGATAACCAGCTCTTCCCTCTTAGCCGTCCTAGCTTGGGCTGCCGGCTCCCCTTCTCTCCACCTCTGCCACCCGCCTAGTCGCCACACTTCCTAAGTGATGCTGACACCCCCTTGACCTCAGGGCCTTTGCTCCTGCTACAACTGCCCCCACCAGGCCGGCTTTCCCTGGGGCCCGCTGGCCAGTCGCCTGGGGGTTTCACCCTTCCTTGCCTGGGCTCCTAACCTGGGGATCCCGTTAGGACTGTCAGGGCCTGCCCAGCGCCACGCCGCGCCCCCCTCCCACCTTTTCAGGAGTGGTACACTACCAGCTTGGAACCTTCTTTTGCTTGCAAGCCCTGATCCCAAATCACCACCACCAGTGCCGAGAGCAGGTTGGAGTGCCCCTCGCCCTCCTTGGCTTTTCCTCTTCCTCACCGTCCTGACAACATGGAGGGTCCTGCACCCTCAGCGCTTGTTGCCCCGAGAGCTCCTCCTTCTGGAAGCATCAGCTCCCAGAGCACCCTCTCCTGGTCCTCCCACCGTGGGGGTCTCTTCTCCCCTCACTCAGCCGAGCCCACCTACTCCCTCATGTGCCTGGCCTCAGCCCAGCTTCCCCTCTGCTTGGTAGCCCACGGCCTCCTGGACTCCACTCAGGCGGCCTCAGCCCCTCAGCCCAGCCACTCCAGACGCAGCAGGGGGCCTGCCCAGGTGCCCCTGCTCCTCAGTCAGTGCCTCCCCCTCCCTGTGTCCAGCCCACACCGGCCCACCAGGGTCCCCTTCCCTCAGGCCTCACCTCCACCCCATCCTGGCTCCCCCAGAGGCCCTCCTTGCCCTTAGTACCGCCAGCCCGCTCTCCTCGCAGCCCCTCTTCCTATCCTGTGCTCACAGACACCCGGACGTAGGCTGGTACATGTGCAGACGCATACACACATGCACACGTGGCGGGGGCTGCAGCCTGCCCGCAAGGCCCGCCATCCCTAAGGAGGCGACCTGGGCTGCAGGCCTCACGGGCCCCCCCGGCCAGCCCCTTGCACAACAGCGTATGCACTCACCGCTCAGGGTCTCCTCGCCAAAAGCAGCCCCCACCCCAGCACAGGACCCCCTCCTCCATCCAGAGCCACCTGAGGGAGCTTGAAGCCTGCATGCCACCATGAAGCTCAGCGAGGAGCTCCCGGGACAGGAACTGGCCGGGTGGGCGAGCGCAGGGCCAGGCGGGGTTGAGCGCTGTGGTGTTGGTGTGGACAGATGCAAGCACCTCTTGCAAGTGTTCAGACTTTATTTCACGGTGATTGACACAAACACAAATTGGAGTTAGTAACAGGACTTCTGAGGCTCCTGCAGCCTCTGAGCCTGACAGCCTGGCTGGGCTGGGGGAGGGGCTGGGGGAGGGGCTGCCACCCCCGCCAGGACAGGTGAGGGCGGCTGGGGGGACGGGACCAGATGAGACCTAACATTGCAGTTTAAGGTGTCTCTGGCTTTGCAGCCGTCTCTGCCACCCCGCACCTGCCCCTTGGTGTTGCCTAGACGCCCAGCCCGCCCCCGGTCACTCCTGGATAAGGACAACCCCTCCTCACACCACAACTGGACAGCTTTGCTGTGCGGCGTCCTCAGCTGCCCTCGGGCCAGGACAGGAAAGACAACAGCCCTGCCACCCCAGCTGTCAAATAAAATCAGTACATAAAGACTCTGCGGTTGGTGGCCAGGCCTGGACGTGCATCCTCAGGAGGGGATGCTGGCCCCCCCCCCAGGCAGGCAGGCAGTGACGTCCTCCACGTCACAAGTGGCCCCACGCCCTCTCAGGGTTCCTCGTGGGGCCTTGGGGGGAGGAGGGGGGACACAGCCATGTCCAGGGTGGCTGGGTGGATGGGCACAGCTGCAGGCCAGGGTGCCCTGAACAGGCCTGTGCCCGGCCTCTGCTCTCCAGTGCCCTGGGAAAGGTAGACTCAGCTGGAGGGAGGGGCACAGCATGGCCTCAACAGTGACATTGTTTCACAGGACTGGCATAGGGGGCCTGGGCTCAGCGGGCCCTGGTGAGGCTGGTCCCGCCCAACATAGGCAGGGAGGAGGGGCGGCTCAGATGGGAACCCAGAGAGGCCCCATGGGGCTTGCACAGAGGAAGGGCACCCTAAACCCTACAGTGCCTACCTGCTCTGGGGACACAGGCCTCGCCAGATGGAACATGGGCAATGTATGTATGCGGGGCCTGCCGACAGGCTGGAGAACACAGGGGCCAGCACAAGTGGATACTTGGGGAAGGCACAGCCTGAGAGGCCAGGACACGGTGTCCCAAGGCAGAGGGGCACGCCCCAAGGCTGCTGAGTGAGCCAAGCCCTCCATGTGCAGCATTCCTCCCCCAACCCCTTGGAGTCCCTTGGCACCAAGTCTGTCTCTGCAGCGCGCCTGCCTGGACGGGAGGGAGGCCGGGCCAGCAGTCCCTCCGGCTGACACATAGGCAAGAAAATCATATCAAAAAAGCAACAAGTTTACAAAAATAGAAAATAATTACAGCAGGGTGGGTCGTGGTTGCATTGTGGCTCACGGGGCAGGACAGGGCCGAAGGTCCGGCTTGGTGACGGCATCCTCCAGCAGGTTCAGCGGGCGCCGACCCACCACCACGTCCCGCAGGCAGCCCACGAAGCCCGTGCCGTAGGCCTTGGGCAGGGCCTGGCCCACAGGCAGCTTCTCTAGGCCACCTGCAGGAAGACAGAGGAAAGGTCACTGGGCTCAGTGACAGGCAGGCCGGACACTGGCGGGCAGAGGGCCCCACTGCATCTGAATGACCAGGTGAGTTACCTGCAGCCTGCCAGTGCCCGGGGGTGACCAGGGGACCAGCAGACGAGCTCCAGCCTCCTGGCCCCACACCACCCAGGGCACGGCAGGGGCTAAGACAGGAGGGGAGAGGGCCCCACCCCAGCCAGCCCATCTGCTGTCCTGGATAGCACTGACACGGGTGCCACTCTTCGTTGTCAGCTCCAGGGGATGGGACCTGTCCCTCAGAGACCCTTCGCTGTCCCTCCCCTGGCTTCCCCCTGACCAATCACTCACCCAACCACAGGGCTCCATCTGTGTCCAGCTGCGTGGCACCCAGTGGGGAGGAACCAGTCACAGGGGCCTCATTGCCCACCTGAAGGGAGCCTTCCCTCTGTTCCCTGGGGGCGTGGTGGGTGGGGTGAGGCCATCAGGTGGCTCCAGGTCCTCCATCCTCCAGGTCCCTCCATCCCTTTCGCCCCAACACCACACCCTGGGGACCGTCACCAAGTGTCACCCCTGGGGGCCAGGATGGAGCGGCACTGACCCCGGGAGAGCACGAGATGGCCAAGGGCAGGGGGACCTCCTGTGGGTCAAGCTTTGCTGGAGGGGACGGCCAAGGCTCAGACCAGAGGGACATATCCCCAGCCGGCGTCTGGGTAGAGCGGGGAAACCCCTTTCAGATCAGGGGTTCCCTGGCCATCACTGCTTCTCCTGTACCCTCTCATCCCTCCTCCCATGCTGGCAGTGACCTCAGGTCGGGCCACCAGCCCTCCTCGCCCTCCTCCCCCTACCAAACTCCTACCCTAGCCACGAGTGGCCAGGCATGCCCTGGCCGGGCAAGTCCAGGCAGCACCCGCTGCTATTCTCGGTGGCCCCAGGCTCCCTGCTGACCTGTGTGCCCTGACCCGCAACCAGCGGTTGGTGCTGACTGGTACGGTGGAGCGCAGCACCATGGGCTGGGAGCCCAGGTCGTAAGCCAGTTGCAGGCGCCCGTCCACGATGGCCAGTGCGATGTAGTCGGCCCGCTCTGCGGCTTTGCCACTCCACAGCACCAGCCCCTGCGTGGCCTCGGTGCGCAGGCTCAGCTCAAAGTAGTTGCTCTGTAGCGCCTTCTCGCTGGTGGGCAGAGGGCTGGTCAGGACCTCTTGGGAGGGTGGCGGGGACGGGGTAGGGGTGGTAGGAAGGTGAGGGGCATGGCTACAGAGGCCATAAGGGCTAGTGGTGCCACCGGGGCAGCTGGATGGGCAGGTGGTGGACACCATCAGTGGGACAGATGGGCCGAGAGATGGATGGTGGGAGGTGGGGCCAGACGGGCAATCAGAGGAGTGAGGTGGACAGACACAGGGACAGCTCGGCAGAGAGATGCTCAGAGAGATGGGAAGGCAACAGGCAGACGGCAGGGGCCAGGGGCCACTGCTCACCTGGGAAGTGCCCTGGAATCCGGAGTTTCAGGGCTTAGATGCAGGAAGAGAGGGAGGCAGGTGAGCAGGGGCACAGACAGGCTGTAGTGCGGGGTGGGGCGGGACCCAGCAGCAGCCCCTCCCCACACCCCGTCTCCACCAGTGGAAGGCGGGCGGAGCAAGCATCCACGGGAGACACACAGGACCCTGGGGTGTCGGCTCCACCCACCACAGAGCCCGGGCCATGACACACATGCAACACACATGGGCAGACACAGAGCTGGTAGGCACGGCCCAGGCCAGGTGCAGGGGAAACAGCTGGGGCACGGGCGACACGGAACGAAGACCGAGGGCCCCTGGTCGGGAGAGACCCCCGGATGGCCCCCCATACACGCGGGTGTGCGCACACACGGGAGCACATGGACTCGTGTGCACACTGAGACACACGTGCTCGTGTATGCACACAGACACGTGGGCACGAATGTGCACGTTTGCAAGTGTGTGCACGCACGCACGCCGTGCCGGTGCCACGCGGCGAGGGGAGTAGTTGCAGGGGGCATTCCACGCATCTGGGAAGGGGCGGCTCCCCACTTTCAAGCGGGGAAACGGAGCCCCGGCAGCACCAACAGCTCCCCCGAAGCCCCGTCCTCCTCCACTGGGGATGGAAAGTTCTGCCCTCGCCCACCCTTGGGATGTGCTGCCCGGTGGGCGGGGAGCAGAGGATGGCGACAGTGAGGGTGGAGGCGGAGCTACTTACGCTGGGATCTCATTGGTCAGTTCGCTTGGAATCAAAGAGACAGAGACAGTGAGAAGGAAGGAGGATGGAGGAGGGGCGGAGGTGGGCACAGAGCCGGGGCGGAGTGGAGGGTCCCGCAGCTAGCCCTGTGCGGCTGCGCAGACAGGACCAGAGAGCGGAGGGCGGAGGGGCGCCTGGCTCCGGAGGGCACACTACCTCTCCGCCACGGCATTGAGGTACTCGATGTAGGTCCGTCCGTCAAAGGCCAGTGTGTCCAAGTCCCCGGCCGACTTCTCAATCAGGCCTGAGAGACAGCGGGGTGAGTGCGGCCTCGGGCAGGCTCCCCCTGCCCCGTCCAGCCTTGGCCCTGTGCCAGAAGCACTCACCCTTCTCGCAGTGCAGCCCTGAGAAGCCCCCAGGACACAGGCACTCGTAGGAGGCCTCCCGAGGGAGACAGGAGGCCCCGTTGAGGCAAGGGTGACCCTCGGCCTGGGTACAAGGGTGGTCTGCAAAGGACGAGACACCCACCGCCCGCACCACGTGCTCCCGGGTCAGCAGCTGGCGGCCGTTCAGGGAGACCTGGGGACGGGAGCGAGAGCCTCTGTCCAGCCTGCCCGGACGGCCCCCATCCCAGGAGGACAGAAGCCCTCTCTGGGATGGGCCCTTCCTCGAGACTGTACCATGGCACCGCCCCCGCCCCACGTACCAGCTGGATGGCACCATCCAAGCCAGAGGACACGGCGGCTGCCCGGGCCAGCTTGCTGAAGTCAGGGGCCCCCCCTACGTAGAGCGGCTCCTTCAGGTTGAGGACGGTGTGCGGCACCTGGGGGGAGGTGCAGCGGGGTGAGGGGTGTGGAGCCCACCCACCGGGCAGGGCAGGAACAGCTCGAGCCCCAGACCAGGGCCCGCCCGCCGGTGATGACCCACCCCGCGCCCTCCAGCCTGCTGGAAGCAGCGTTCATCACAGACACGGCCACACGGGCTTAGTGGGGGCGGAGCTACGCTAGGGGCGGAGGCGGCAGAAGAGGAAGGAGGCAGGATGAGAGGAGACGGTACCTTGCGGGATTTCTGGCATCCGAAGAGCGGAGAGCGGAGAGCGGAGAGCGGAGAGCGAGCGGGGTGGGGTTGCAGAGCGAGGGCCAGGGAGCAGTGAGAGCAGAGAGGAGACACAGACAGAGGCCCAGGGCAGAGGAGAGAAAACAGTCCAGTGAGATCGGGCTATGGGGCGGGGCCGCGCGCCTCCCGGGAGGGGGAGGGCGGCGGCGAGCAGGGGGGCAGCCCTGGAGACACTCGCTCAGCTCACCGGGGACTCCCCCAGCACACGGGGCCCATCGTCGACCCGCATGGCTCCTTTGCGTCCGTTTCGCTCCAGGGAGACCCTGGTCCAGGCGCCCAGGGCCACTGGCTCCTTGCTCCTGGAGGGGGGGGGGGCGCCGTGAGCGCACTGGGGCTCTGCCGGCCTGCCCGGCAGGGGCCTGAGGCCGGCCCCCTGCACCCCGTGCGGCCCACCTGATGACCGCTGCCCCCTTGCCCAAGTCGTAGCGGAACTCCAGGACACGGTCGTGCAGTGCCAGCGACACGAAGTCGCCCTTGCCGTCTGTCTTCTGCCCGTTGTAGAGGAGCAGGCCGCTGGGGCCCCGGGCCAGGAACACCACCTCCAGCTCCATCTTCTCCCTGGGGTCACATGAGGGCAGGCAGGGGTGTTTCGATGCCCCCTCACCCCATGGCTGGATGGGGTTGGGAGCCGCTTCCCCTCATCGACCCCTCTGCCCAACTGACCCCAGGTCCCGCTCAAAGGTGTGCAGGCCTTTCAGCTCCAGGTAGGAGAAGCTGCTGAAGTCGGCCAGGAAAGGCTGGCTATTCTCGCGCTCTGAGACTGCGAGGACAGGAGAGGATCACACAGGGTGCCGGGCCCTGACCCCAGAGCCCCAGAGCCCCCACCGCCCTCCCTGCCCTGAGCGCCGCTGTCCCCACCTGTCTGGCAGAGGCTGCCCTCCCGGCCCCGAGGGCACTCGCACTTGGCCTCGCCCTGGGGCAGCACGCGGCAGGGGGCTGCCCCATGGCAGGGGTTCGGCTGACAAGGGTCCTTCTCGTCAGCACAGGTCGGGCCTGGAAGGAGGCAGGTTGGGGTCCCGGGAGGCCTGAGTCCCAAGCACAGACACACAAGTCCCCCCAGCACCCGGCCCAGGGCCCGCCCTCACCAAAGCGGCCGGGTAGGCACCGACAGTGGAACATGCCGGCCTCCAGGGCCTGGCACGGGGCCCCGCCGAGGCAGGGGTTAGGCACACAGGGGTGGTCCCCGCACTCGCCCACTCCAGAGCTTCGGGTCGCAGACCCCTGCCAGTTACTCAGCTCCAGCTGCTGGTTGTTGACGTCCAGCAAGCGGATGCAGCCCCTAAGCCCAACGCCGACAGAGGTCCGCTCGAGCACCCTGCCACCGAGATGAGAGGGTCAGGGGTCACAGGCCAGAGACCAGAGCTGTCTGTCCTCTCTCACAACCAGCTGTGACACTGGCGTCCCTCAGTCAGCCGGGGTCGTGAGTCAGGGCTGCTACCTGTCCCCGACCCCTCTTTTGGTCCTCACAAGATGGACAGTCAACCCACAGAATCAGGAGGCGGGTTGAGCTGAGTCAAGGGTCTGGACTGAAGGTCAGGGCCAGCCCAGCCCCTCCTTGGTGATTACATGGCAGCTTGGTCCTCAGCATCAGGACAGAATCAGGATCACGGTCAAGGGCTGGGGCTGAGGCCAGCATCACAGCCATAGGCCACACCCACACTTCCAACCCCTTTGTTATCCACAGGGAGCTTGGACCTCCTGGATGCCACCCCAAGAGTCAGGGATCAGGGCCAAGGTCGGGGGTCTGCGGTCGGGGCCACACCACCCTCCTCCATGCTCACACGGAAGCCTGGTCCTCTGGGACGCCACCCACAAAAAGGTCCATGTCCAGGTTGAGGCCGTCAGTGCCACTGGGGCTCTGGCCCAGGACAGGGGTCTCACCATCCACCGAGAGAGTGCCCTGGCGCCAGTGCCGAGACAGCTCCAGGTGATGCCACCGGCCGGGCTGCACGGGCACTGAGCTGGTCAGCACCGCGGGCCCCGAACCTGTGTCGAACCTGGGGGGCGGGAACAGGCGCTCGGGACAGCCAAACGGAGCCAGGACCACGGGCTGGCCCTGCCCCCCAACCCCCACCCTCATCCCTGACCCCCCCAACCGCCCGCCACCCACCTGAGCTGCACGCGGCCCCCCAGCAGCGCCAGTGCCAGGAAGTCCTTGCCCCGGACATTGCCGTTATACAGTAGCAGACCCTGGGGCTCCAGCGCCCGGAATTCAAGCGCCAGGCGCAGGGTGTGGTAGGCACGGAGGGTGGGGAAGGCCAGGAAGGAGTGGCCCCCGAAGGCCGGCACGGAGGGGCGCGGTGCTGCAGGAGACGGAGGAGCAGTGGAGGACACAGAGGACCCGGCTGCCCGGGCTCTGACTGCCGGTCCGAAACCCCCAGCCCTGTCCCCAGCGCTGGGCCAGGGAGTCCAACCGGCCGCTCACCCCAGCCTGGCCCCCCTGCCCGGCCCCCCACTCCCGGCGGCCCGGCCCTCCCCAACCTGGCCCCCTCTGCCTCCCTGCCCCTCCCCCACCTGGATGACCTTACCCTGCTCGCAGACAGCGCCCCCCCTGCCCGCTGTGCAGCGGCAGGTGAAGTCTCCACCTGAGCCCTGGTCCTGGCAGGTCCCCCCGTGGAGGCAGGGCTGGGAGTCACAGGGCCTTGGGGGCTGCTGGATGCCTGGGGGCGAGGGCCGGTGTGCAGGCATACGGCTAGGGGCAGGGGTGGGGGGCTGGCGCGCGGTGAAGGGCACTGTGATCCTGCTGACGGGCCGGCTTGTGTGACTGGGATAGAGGGCCCGAGGGGTCACAGCTGAAGGTGGCAGGCGGGCCACAGTGGTGGCTCTGGCTGTGGCTGCAGCAGGGGTGGCTCCCGTGAAGAACGCAGGAAACCAGTCTGGGGGTAGGGGAAGCTGTCAGGATCCGCAAGGAGCAGGGATCCCAAGCGCAGTGCGCGGCGTGGGGGACGGAGGGTGGGGACAAGCTGTGGCTGGCGGCTGGACCAGGCTCTCACCGAAGTCCATGAACCGCACGTGTTCCTGCAGAGGCCGCCTCACGCCCAGGGACCGGCGCCTGGATGCCTGGATCTGCCGGACCAGGGCCTGGCACACATCGGGTGCCCTGAAGGCTGTGGCTGGGGAGGAGGAACCCTGAGCATGGTGGAGGTCAGGGCAGCCCCCCACTTCCCGGGGGGACTGGGGTGGGGGCTCACTGGGGTCGAAGTGCACATCCACGATGGCTCGGACGGAGTTGCCGGGCCCCAAGTCCCGCAGGCGGACACTTCGAAAGTCCTTCTTAAGGTCCGAGTTCCGGAAGAGGTCATCCAGCTGCGGGTGGAGAGTGAGTTAGGGCTCCGGGAAGCTGCCCAGGCTGGACCGTTGGGCCCTCCTCCCGCCCCCACAGCGCTTCTCTGGGTCTGTCCTGGGAAAAAGGCCAGTGGCTGGGTAGGGGCTGCCACCCTGGCCACGGCCCCACACTTACCGCGCTCTCGATGCTCCTGGCCGTCTCCCCAAACAGCTCGGACTTGGGGTCGGCCATCTCCGGCGTGTAGAACAGCTCCTGCCCCTCGACCCCCTCGAGCTCCAGCACACCCTGGAACACCTTGGTGGCTGCGGGGGAGGGAGCAGTGAGGTCCTGCCCGGCACCTGCCTGGCCTCTGGGCCAGCCGAGGGCACAGGCCCCAGCAGTGAGCCACGCGGGGTGCAGGGCAGGTGGTGGTTAGTCAGATGGTCATGAGGTTAGTGCGGACCCCGGGGCAGGGCTGGCATCGGTTACCAGACAGACTCCTCGGAGCAGTGCCCCAGGCCGGCTTGCAACAGGAAAAACAGGTTAGCCACGGAGTCCTGGGCACCCACGCGTGTGCGGGGGCCGAGAACACACGTTATGTGTGCACATACTGAATCCCCAAGACCGCTTGCACATGTGTGCTAAAATCAGAAGATCACAAAGCCTGGGTGCCCACCTGCTGGACAGGCCTGTGGCCGGGAGGAGAGACAGCATCTCTGGATGTGTCCAGGCCATTCCACACGCTCCACCCAGGCCCCCGGCCACCCACTCACCAGGACAGTTGGAGCCCTCTGCGTCCAGTGAGGGTGTCTTGCCATCTGAGCAGCAGCCCATAGGCGAGTTGTAGCAGGAAGCCCTCTCCATGGGTGGCCCGGGGGTCCCAGCGCTGTCTCTCTCAGGGGGCTCAAGTCCTGGGGAGGTGCCGTCTGAGCCCAGCCCCAGGTGCAGCCCTCCTGGGCCCTGCCCCCACGTCCCGGAGCCTGTGCTCACCTCCTGAGCCAGCCGCACTGGCCTCCAAGTCACCACTCAGCTCCTCGTCACCGCTCCCATCGGCGCTGCCAAAGGCAGATGTGACGAGGCTGGCTGCCGGGGAGGCGGCCGTGGGAGGCATGGTCAGCACAGGCCTTGCAGCGGTCCTGGGGACGCTGGCAGTGGTCCAAGGTTGCGATGCGGGTCGAGCGGTACTGCTGGGAGCCAGGGAGAGGGCGCTGGGTGGAGGCAGCAGCGCCTTGCTCAGGTCAAGCCCTGAGAGGGCCACAGAGGCAGATGTCGGACGGGGGCCGGAAGTGATGTCTTCTGTAAGGAGAGGAGATTCCAGGTGGCGGGACTGGTGGTCAGAGCGGGGTCAGGCCTTCCTGGTCAGTCTGGGGCAGTGGGTGAGGCCTTACCCTGGCAAGGGCCAAGGCTCTGGATAGAGATGTCCAAGCCCTGACGGCAGGCAATGGTCCTCAGCTGGCACTCGTCGCCATAGGTGACTCCATCTGACCCACAGACCTGGGGCACAGGACACGGATGCTGGGGGGAGGCCCCTCCGCACCCCTGCCACCCTCCACACTACCCATCCCTCACCTTGGTAGCATTGGCCCCTGGACAGGCGGGTGTTGGGCACATGCAGTGGGCGGAGCCAGCTTCCTCCACGCAGGACGCCCCGAACTCACAAGGCATCTCAGCACAGGTCTTGGGTGCCGGGGAGTCTGGGGCACAGACACGGGAGAACCCACTGGCTCAGGAAACCCCGTCCCTATGACAGCCTCATCCCCAGCACAGGGGGCCAGGGGCAGTGCCAGGTCTGGCCCTCACCTGTCTCACAGCCAGCAGGGCCCAGGGCACGGCCGTCTGGACACTGCCCGCACCTGGGTCCAGCCACCCTGGGCTTACAGGAGCACAGTCCGGTCATCTGTTCACAGTCGTCCCGCACAGCCCCCTGGGGGTCACAGCTGCAGGCTGGGAGGCAGGGGAGGAGGCTGAGACCTGTGCCCGGCTTCCCCGCAGGCTCCAGGGCCTGGCCCAGCCCCTGCCAGCGGGGATGAGGAAAGCAGGGACAGGGTGGGCAGGCAGCAGTGCTCAGCTGGGGACCGATCGTGGGCCCCGTCACTCACGGGTACAGCCACTCCGGCCATCGGTGACAATGCCACGGAAGTTCCAGAAGCCGGGCTCGCAGCGGTCACACTTGAGGCCCCCCACGCCCGGACGGCAGGAGCACTGGCCTGTGGCCGGGTCACAGGTGCCACCGTAGGAGCCGTGGGGGTTGCACTGGCACGAGCCTGCAAGGCCAGGGCAAGGCAGGGTCACCGCAACTGCGTGGCTCTGCCTGGCTGCGGGTCAGGGCCAGGCTCGGGTACTCACTGGGGCAGCCGGCCAGGCCCACGCCCCGGGCAGCAGTGATGTTGTCCAGGCAGCAGCCGTAGGGGCTCTGAGCGCAGTGCAGGGGAACCGCAGGCAGCAGCGGGGCCAAGGTGGGGGCTGCAGGGAGGGGCAGGGGTTGAGATGCCAGGCAGGGCCAGATGCTCCACCTGGGCACGGCCCCTCTGCCTCGACCACCCCCGCCCTCACCACTCAGCCCTCCAGATGCCGGCTCCCACCAGGGCCTGTGGGTCTGCAGCTCGGGTCACAGGCGGGAACCCCATACCGCACATGAGAACGATAACGTGTCTGCACACCGAGTACCAGCAACACGTGAAACGCCCACAGATCGTGGACGTGAAGCTCCGTGCACACACATACAACCAGAGCCACATGCTCGGATGAGCAGGCCTCTGCAAGGTGGCAGGCACACACGTACACCACATTCCCCCGCGCACAGACACATACAGGAGAACTTGTGCGTGCACAAAGATTCAACGATTGCCGGTCACCATCAGTCTCCTCCCAGAAGAAAAAGTGCCTGGAGGGTGGGCCTCGCTGGTTCACTGATGCCCCCTTGCACACAGTAGGTGCTCAGTGCACACTTGCTGAGCGGCAGGCACACACGTCCACGTACCACAGCTGCACAAATGCGGATATACACTAACAGCACACACTGCAAACACGATACACGTGTTCACACACGCCCACCACAGCATACACGCAACAACTTCGAACAAGACATGGACCCCCACAAGCCTCACACCCGTGGGCACACGTACCTTTGAACAGGCACATGTGTGCCCACACACAGCCGGACACGCCCGCACGCCCACTCACCACTGCAGGCTCCCTGGGCCACGACGTACAGCTCTGGCCGCGATTCACACCTGGCCTTCTTCAGCTCACACTCGGTGCGGTAGGTGACCCCGTCCGAGCCGCACACCTGCAGGAAGGGTGTCAGGGCAGGTGTGGGCGGCCACGGCCCCTGCCTCACTGCCCAGTGGGAGTCAGGGGAGGGGGGGGCCTCACCGGGCTCCTCAGGACGCTCTGGCAGCTGAAGTCGCAGACGCACGGCCCGTCCTCTGAGTCCTCGTCCCAGATGCCGCCTCGCTGCCGGCACAGCTCCTGTCCACACTCACCGTGCTCTCCAGAGCCCGAGCCTCCCGAGCCGCACTCGGCTGCAGGGAGGAGGCCAGGTCATCTCGGGGTCCCGGCCGAGGCTGGCGCCCAGCAGCCCACACCAGCTGCCCCCGAGCCTACCCTGCTCACATGGCCCCACCCGGGCCTCCTCTATCTGCATCTGCTGCTGGCAGGCCGCCTCGCGGAGCTCGCAGGAACTGCGGTAGGTCACGCCGTCGCTGCCACACACGGGGCCGGGCGGAGGGCGCTCGCACCGGGGACACACGCACCGCCCCGCCGAGCACACGGCCCCGAAGGCGCACACTGTGTCTCCGCAGGTCTCTGCAGAAGGCGGGGCCGGGTGGGGGGTCAGCTGATACTGGGTGGAGGAGGCACGGGACCACAGCCCGCCGGGCGCCCCCAGCCCCACTCACGGCAGGGTCCAGCCGAGGCCACGGGACCACAGCCCGCCGGGCGCCCCCAGCCCCACTCACCGCAGGGTCCAGCCGAGGCCACGTGCAGGCCGATCTGGCGTGTGCAGGCGTGCACGTGCAGCTCACACTCGCTGGCATATGTGCGCCCGTCAGAGCCACACACGGGCTGGGCCGAGGCCACGCACTCGGAGGGGCATACGCAGCGCCCGGTCTCAGCCTCGCACAGGGCTCCAAAGCGGCACTGCCCACAGCGGTCTGGGGAGGAGGCTCCATCACCACGGTGACGAGGACGGCCACCCCCCCAGCTAGACCCACTCATCCACCACTGACCACAGGGTCCTCGGCGAGCCACCCGGATCTCCCGCCCAAGGGCGCAGGCCGTAGCCTCCAGCTCGCACGTGCTGCCGTACGTGACGCCGTCGCTGCCACACACGGGATCGTAGATGCCTGAACACGCTCGCTGACACGCACACTCGGCTTCCCCATTCTTCACAGCACACATCGCCCCGAATGGACACTGCACCCCGCGGCACGGGGACGGGGGCTGGTCTGGGGAGAATGTGGCCACTCAGCAGGGTCCCCACCTGCTCTCCTAGGCGACGCGCAAAGCCCCCAGCCCCACGCAGCAGACCCTTTCCCAGGGTGGGGATGGTGTGGGAAGAGTGGACCAGGAGGAGGGCGGGATGCGCAGGACACAGCAGAGAAAGGGACAGACGCGGACACACGTGGGCAGGGACACAGACTCAGACGGCCCCAGGTCCCAGCGTGAGTGTGGGGAGCGGCTGCCCTCTAGACCCAGGAGCTTCTGGACTGGTCTCAGGGGCTGGTGGGAGGGCCAGCTTTACCAGCCCACCCAGGCCACTGACCCTTGACCGTCAGCAGCCCTGGGACGCCCATGTGTGGGGGCGGGGGTGCTCTCTCTGTGGGGGGAGGAGTCTGCAACCCAGAGCCACACCCAGGGCCACACGGGGGAGGAGGTGTCTGTCCACTTGCTCTGAGGACCGCAAGGCCAGGCAGCAGCGAGCCACCCCCCCCTGCCGCGCGGGGGGCAGACCTCGGGCTGTGGGCTCCTGGCGGCAGGCGCGGTACCTCATCCTGCCAGCAGGTCAGGCTGGAAGACACAAGAGGTGGACCCAAGAGGGAAGGGAGAGCAGAGGAGAAGAAACAGACGCAGAAAGAGAGACCGGAAAGATGGGCAGACCAGCCGACGGGGATGGAGGTAGAGGTGGGCAGAGCCCCAGTCCACTCAGGACGCGCTGTCTCTGCCCATTCCTGGTCCCTCGAAGCCCGACTGAGACGCTGCCTCTAAGGGGGCTGTGTGTCCCAAGAGTGTGGCACCCGGAGGACTTGAGGGCTGTCAGGCAGGTCCCAGGGAGCCTGCCCACGGACCCCTGCCTCTGCCGCACATCCCCCCAGGTGCTGCAGGCACCTCCCTGACAGATGCCACCTCCCCAGAGCCCGCTGACAGGCAACAGCCCTGCCAAGGCTCCCCAGAGTGACCAGCTGTCGCCCACAAGCCCAGGGAGGAGAAGCATGACTCAGGATGGAGATGGCATGTGATGACAGGCAGCGGGGACTGCCGGACCAGGCTGCTCGCAGCACGGAGCCCGCCCACGGTGCTCACCACACGGGCCCTGGCGTTTGGCGGGGATGCTGCGCTGCTGCTGACACTCGGCCTGCTGGCGCCAGCAGTCATTGTCATATGTGTGCCCGTCGTGGGCGCACACGGGTTTGTAGGCCCCATCACAGATAACACGGTCGCAGGAACAGCGGGGGCGGCCTCGGCGGGACAGGCACACGGCACTGAACTTGCACGCCTCTGGGCACTGGTCTGGGGAGGCAAGGAGATCAGAAGAGCCAGAGTACCACGCCGGCCCCCACGCTGGGATGTGCAGGGGATCCACGGGCACACGAGGTGATGAGTGGGGACCCATGAGGCATGCAAGGGAGGGTGGGGACAGGCGGGGCCCTGGGTCACGCAGAGTGCCAGGACGGGGCCCTCCCCCAGGAGCCGCCCACCTCGAGGCTGGCACTGGCCAGAGCGCACTTTCTGGAGGAGGAGTCCTCGGGTGGCCCCGGTTCGGCCCATGACGCAGTCGTTACTGTAGGTAACCCCATCATCCCCACACACGGGCGCCTGCCTCGGAGGGCAGCTCTCTGGCCGCAGGAGCATCTCGGGGCGCCGCGTGCGTGGGTCCACACGGCAGATGAGGCTCAGGTCGTTGAGGGCGCCCTGGCAGGGGTCTGGGGGCGGGGAGGCGGAGGTCAGGGCACTGCCGCTGTGCGCACACACTGACTGAGGTCATGCTACACGCGCAGGGGTAGCGCTCACCGCAAGGGCCGTCGAACTTCTTGAACACGTTTTCCTGGTGGGCGCAGGCTTGGCGCAAGAGCTGGCACTCGCTGGGGTAGTCAGTGCCATCGCTGCCACACACAGGGCCCTCGGGGGCCCCCAGGCACGTGGCAGGGCACAGGCACGTGGCTGTCAGTCCGTCTGCGGAGCGCGCACAGGTGCTGCCAAAGCTGCAGGTTACATTGGAGCAGGGGTCCCTGGTCCCTGTGGGCGGAGCAGGGTGGGGTCACACTGGCCGGCGGCGGGCCCTCAGCGCACGCCCTCACCGCAGGCCCCGCCCTCCTCATCCCTCCTCACTCAGGCCCGCTCCAGCCCCGCCCCCGCGCCCCCGCAACTGCAGGCCCCACCCCCCTCACCACAGTCCCCGCCCCCCCGCATCCCCCTCACCAAGGCCCCGCCCCGCACTCACCGCAGGGCCCCCGGCGCAGCAGGCGGATGCGCCTCTGCTGGCTGCACTGCGCCCGCTGCAGCTCGCACTCGTTGCTGTAGGTGGAGGCATCCGAGCCGCACACGGGCGCCACCACGCTGGGGCAGACGCTCTTCTTGCACACGCAGGAGGCTTGGCCCGGCTCCTCCGCGCTGGGCTCGCAGACGGCGCCGAAGCCACACAGCATTCCTCGGCACGCTGCGGGTGGGGCGGAAGACGCGACGGGGTGGGTAGGGGCCCGGCCCCTGCCGCCTCCAGGCCCACGGTCATCATGCACACAGTCCAACGTCCGCACACCTGCCAGGGCCTTGCACGGACGGTCACACATGCACATGCGTGCCCACCCATGTTCGTGCTGGCGCTCACAGGAACCCCGGGTGCGCCCATCACAGCCAGGGCCTCATGCCCTCCCCCTCTCAACAACCTCCCTCCCCCCCCCAGACCCTTCTCTGCCCCCGCCCCCCTCAGCCCCGCAACTGTGGAAGGGGCATTGCATCTGCTCCTGACCCACTCCCCACACAGAGGACAGACAGACAGCCCCCAGGCCGACTCTATCACAGGGAATCAGCATCCCCACCTCAGAATCAAAGCCCCTCTTCCGACTGTGACCTACTCCTCAGAACCCCGGCCCGCCCCGCCCCCTCTCTGGGAGCTGCTCCAGTGTCCCCGCCCACACCTGGCCCCTGCCACCTCCCCAGGGACCAGCTCCCTGCCTTTCATGGACCGGCCTGAGGTCATACAGCTGCAGGACAGGGGGTGGGGTTATCTGAGGTCAGGTCACATGCTCCACCCTCGGCCCAGAACCCAGTGCCCTGCCGGCACCCACCCCTGTCTTCTCACTTCTTCCCCTTCCTGCTTCTCTGGAGGCCTCCCCTCTCCTCAGGCCTGTCCCCACTTGGGTTCTTGTCTGCCCACTCCCCCACCTTCCACGTCCCCACAGCCAGCCTCCCCCAGGTCCGTGCTCTGCTGTGGCTCGTGGTCTCCCAGCTGCAATCTCTCGCTAGGGCCCTGCGGGTACCCACACACCTCATCCTTCCTCACCTATCCTCCTGGGCCCCCACCTCAGGAAATGTCGCCACCCCCACCCCCTCCCCAGGCCCTGCTGCCCCACCTCACACTCAGCATGACCTCCTCAGGGACCCTAGCACACCGGGCCCTGCGGACCCGACTGTTTTCTTCTTTAAACATTTTAGTTCTCAACTTTGCAGTGTCGCCAGCGCACACCCGCTCACTGAGTTGCAGAGCCGTCAGGACAGGCCCTCCTGGGCACAGTGTCAGGGCAGCGGGCAGGCTGACTCCTCAGGACTCCCACCCAGGGTGACACTCCCATAGGCAGGGCAGGCCCGTTACCGGCCGCGGCTGTCTGGATGCAATAAATGTTTAATTGGGTCCACTTATCATTAATAAGTTATGGGGGTCGGGGGGCGCCCCCCATCACCTCCCAGCAGGCTCAGGCAGGGGGGCAGGAGGAAGCAGCCTCAACTCCGAGGGGTCTGGAGCAGCACAGGCAGCTGGTGCTGTCACCATAGTAACAGCCCACCCCAGGCTCCCGCGAGTCTGTCTGGGAATCCCTGCCCCCACCCCCCACGGGCTGAGTGAACTGGGGCTGGAGGCAAGGGCGGGGCCAGCATGGATACCCCGGCCTGAACTCCCTGCAGACCCCCCCCGTCCTCCCCCCACCTCATCTGGGCACCCACGCAGACGCTTCATCCGATCCTGGAGCCAGGCTGCCCCACCTGCATTCACCCGCCACGTGATGGTGGGCACCTCAGCATCTCCTCCAGTGAATGGGGACAATAGAACCTACCCTCCAGGGTTGTTGTGAGGCTAAATGGGCCAATACCTGCAAAGGCTTGGAGAGGCCCAGCACTCCACTCCGGGCCGGGTGGGGGGTCAGCCGCTGCAATGACTAGAGCAGTAAGAGCTGCCAGCATATGGGCCATCCCTTGTCCCGGCTCAACACTGTCTACTCATAGCCCCTCTCCTCGCTTTCCGTTTCGCGGGCTCCTTCTCTCTCCCCTTAGCACTTCCTCTCACTTTCAGCCCTCACTTGCCCAAGGCCCTGGGGACCCCCAGGCCAAACCCAGGGGCACTTGCCCCATCTGGCTGGCTGCTCTATCTGGCTTCAATTGGACCTGCTGATCAAGGTCTTTCCCAGGGTCCTGACCCCATGGCCGAGGACCTGGTCACCGCACTGCCCCTCGGGCTCAAGCCTCTCTCTCCCTCTGGTCACCCTGGTCCAGCCGGACACCACCCAAGGTCCTGACCCCTGGGCCAAGGACACCTACTCCTCTATGACCAGTAGGTTCCTCGTCCTCCAAGACTTGCACCCTCATCATGCAGGCTGCCCCTCCTTAGCGCAGGTGGAGCGCCCAGAGACCTGCAAGCTTCACGGCCCTTGAGCGTGTCACCTCTGGGGCTCTGCCATGCTTGCCCTCCTGAAGGAGCCTCACTCCTTCCTTGCCCAAGGCTCCCTCACAGTGTGCGATGCCGGAGGCGGTGGTGGCTTTTTATAGCCTCCGCCGGTTGGAGTGGGTATATTTAACTCTCTCCCCAGACCTGGGTAGGTTGGAGGATGGAGCGCGTGCCCTGAGCCCTGCCTGTGACCAAGAATGTGCTGTGTGTGCGCCTGGGAGGGATGACGATGGTCATGTGGGGTAGCTGTCCCGAAATGTGTGATGGGATCCGAGGGCAGGTGTGGGGCCCGTGTGGAAGGCTGTGGGGCGAGCCAATGCATGTGTGAAGGAAAAGAGACACAGCAGGCCTTGGGGCTTGAGGAGAGAAGGCTGAGGACGCTGGGAGAGAGGAAGGTGTTTAAACCCAGCCAGCTCCAGGCCTCTTGTCCACAGCCTATGAGAGGCTCAGTCCTGGGCCCAAACCCCCAGCCCAGTGCAGACCTGCCCCCTCCCATGGCCCATCCCATGTATGGACGGCCCTCTGTGTACTTCCAGGGACCTGGGCCGTGCCTGCCCAGCAGGGGGCCCAGGCACTGAAAGCAGACCTGGGAGCAGCCCCCTCTCCCAAGAGGACCCCAGGCCACCCCTTTCCCCTGCCCTCCGGAGGCACTGACAGCTTCCTCTCTTCCCTGCTCACATTAGCTTAATTACAGCAGCCCCCCAGGGAGGCCGGGCCCCAGCCCACAGAGCAGGTCAAGGAGGCCAGGCCCAGCCTGCTCAGTCCAGGAACAGACCCGCCCATCCCTCCTCAGACAGCTGCTGCTGGTCCTGCTGAGGCCCCCTCCCCAAGCCCCTCGCCCCCCACGCCCTCTGTACACATCTTCTGACCCATCTCTCAACCCGTGGGCTCCGGCACTAAGTCAGTCCCAACTTTGAGGCCAAGGTGGGGCCAGGCCCAGGGACTGCGGACCCCAGGTTCCCTTTGCTGTCCACCACTGTGGACTCCCCAGGAAGGACCCAGGTTCCTCATCCAGCCTCCTGCTGCTCCAGACACAGCTAACATGTCTGATGTACACACCCCAAGAATGACCCCCTGACCACCAAGAGTGCCACCGCCCCTCCAGGCACAGATTGCCAAGCTCAGTCTGTCACCAATTGAGCAGCCCTCACTCACCATCCGGAGGCGTTGGGGGCACTGGCATGAAGTGGGTCCCAGGTTTGTCTGGAAAAAAACAAATCTCCAAGTCAGGCACCCCCCGGCCCCGCTCCCCAGCCCGAGCCAGTCCTTCCATAGCCTGTCCCATTGTCCAGCCTGGAGGGGTCACCCCTGCCTGCACACATCCCTTCCCTGGCTTTCCTCTGCCCCTCCGGCTGTATCATCATGGTCTGACACCTGTCAGGGAGGCCCAGTGGCAGGGGTGTGGGCAGCCACCTATTCCCGAGATGAGCCCCAGGTCCTGCCAAAGCCCCCACTCCCAGCGTAGCCAGCTGCCCCCAACCCCCCCCCAACGAAAGTTGTCTCTGCAGCTCAGGATGTGGGCTGCCCCCCAGCCCACAGACAGCCTTCGGGGGGCCCAGGCATCCAGAGAACGCCCCATGGTGTTCCCAGAAGATGCAGTGGCGCATCTGAGCCACGTCGCAGCCGGTGGCCTCTCTGTGACCCTGCCTGTCCCCTAATCTTTGGCGGCTGAGGCAGGGGACCTCAGCGAGCAGAGAGGCAGGGCCACCTGGGCCCGGGAGGCTGCCACACCCACAGACGTACAGTTGTTCAGGAAGAGTAGCACCGCGAAGCCGAGCGTGGCGGTGGCCAGGAGAATCAGGCAGACGTTACAGGGCATCATGAAATATCGCACCAGCAGGGAGAGCCCGCGCCGCTGCCGGGGGTCCCGCTCCAGCGGCAGTGGAGGCATGGCCTGGGATCCTCAGCCCCCACTCTTGAGGCGTGGGGGTCCTCACGGGGTGCCCTTGGGCCTCTTCGGTGCCACTTGCCCCATTCTTGGACCCCTGGGCCAGTTGACAGCAGCTATATTCTCAAAGTTCAGCTCCAGTCACAGCTGGGGAGTCGGGGGCGCCGGGCCCCCTCCACAGCCCTTGAGGCTCATAAAGGGAGGTGTGCAGAATTCTCCCGGAGTAGAAATCCCAAGTTTGGGCTCGGAGGGAGGTGGACGAGGAACCGAGGGCCAGCACCACCCCTGCCGTCCACACCGGCCAGGGCCTGGGCCGGAGGCGCCAGCAGCTCTCCGCGGGGCTCGGGCTTCCCGGAGCCAGCCTCGGGGAGTCCCGCAGCCCCGGATCCTGCCCGCGCGGCCGCCCAGGAGAAGCCGGTCCGAGTGGGAAGGGCGGCGAGCGGCCCCTTGCCCGGGACTCGGCGGGTCCCGGCTGCTCGGTCCCCGGCAGAGGCGGGAGCGGCGACGGCTGCGAGCGGGAGGGGCGCGCGCGCCTCCGGAGAGAGAGAAGAAAGAGCCGGCCGCGGAGGGCCGCGCCCGCTCCCCGCGCCCAGGCCGGGGCTGAGGCGGTGAGTGAGGGGCGAGGGGCGCCGCGGAGGGAGGGCGGGGAGCTGAGACAAAGGAAGACGCCTCCGGGGACCCCAGCGTCCGCGGGGAGTCGCGGCTCGCGCCGCAAGGAGCATCGGGCGGATGAGGACGGGAGGGCGACGGCACAAAAGAGAACGCAGAGGCCGCGGGCGCTGGGGGACGGCTGGGGGCACCGGGGCTGGAAGGGCGCAGAGGTGGGGCGCTGGGGCTGCGGAGGGTGCAGGTCGGGATGGGGGCTGGGGTCGGGGCCGGAGATGAGGGGGAGCGGAGGCTGGCGCTGGAGAGAAGGCACGTGTGAGGTCGGGGTGGGGGGCTGCGGAGCGGGGGCGAGTAGGTGGGCGGGACAGGGTCCCCTCCCGCTCCCACCCGGCTGGGCTGGGCTGGGCTGTGCGTGTGAGCGGCGGCGCGGCGGAGTGTCCGAGAGTCTGTCTGTGTCCCCGCAGAGGGGATCGGCCTGCACGAAGTACCCGGTTTCTCGGCTGCGGTCTGCGTGCTACCGCGTGTGCGTGTCAATGTCTCTGCTCCCGCTGGCGCGACCCAGGCACTGTGGGGGTAGCGTCTCCAGGTACATACACACAGGTGGGGAGTAGGCTGGGCTCAATTCAGAGGGTGCGCCACCCCTCCCTAGGACCTGACAGCAGCACCTCAAACCATCCGCACACCCCCAACTCGCGTCCGCGAGGTGACAGGATGATGCAAATGAGTCCCATGTAAATGAGCGTTATGCAAATAGTCGCGGGGCTCCAGGTCCAGACCGCAAGCCTGGAGCGCCCCCCAGAGGCCTTCCGGGAACGTCGAGACCCTGACGTCACAGCGGGCCAGGGCGCGCGGCCCACCTGGGACTCCCGTCCTCCCCATCACGTGTGCAGCTGCCTCACAAACATGTCCCTGGAGTCCTCCCACACACACCTCGCTCACTCCCTGCTCGTCAAGCACCTGCCAGCCAGCACCCAGTTCTTCAGGTCCATCTCCTTGGACTCCTTTCAGTCCTGCGCCCAGACACACTAGTACCAAATCCTAACAGGGTCAGCCCACCCTGTCCGGGTCCCCAATCATCCACAGCAGAGGTCTTCAAACCTCTTGGTGCCCTGGAACCTGAGGGTCTACTGAAACCTTGCAGGAAAAGTCAATACACAAAGTGGTTCCCCCCCCACCCCGGGCCGCGATGGACCCAGAGTAGCAATCTGTCAGCCCACCTGGAGACCCTGCCCCTGGCTGGCCTCACTGTCTCCTCAGGGGAGCCTCCCACCCCCTCACCTCACCTCACCACACCCTGGCACTGCCCACACCACACTGAGAGTGGCAATGCCCCGGACTTGGAGCACCCAGGGCAGGGTCTGACTTTTTATCTCCTCCGGGCAGAGCTTGGCCCACAGCCCAGAACTTGGTGTGGTGAGCCCAGGCAGTGACACATTTCCCATTTACTTCTCACTGCAGCCCCCAGGACTGCAGTTGGAATCCCTCCACTCAGGGAGGGGCCCACAGACAGTGCCAGGGTTTAAACCACAGACGTACGCACTGAGCACACACCCGCACAGGAGCCCTGTCTGCTGCTGCCACTGCAGCTTGGGCCATCATGGGTGGGCCCTGCTGGAGGAGGGGAGGCAAGGGTACCAGAGTGTGGGAGGGGCAAGCCCTGGGATCAGGGGGAGCCCATGCTGGCAGGGCAGGCCTCCCCCAGGCAGAGACCCTGGACTCTGCCAGCAAATGGGCTGGCCTTAGGGCTCACGTGGTGGTGGTGGCGGTGCACAAGGCCTGTCAGGTCTGGCCTGGGGAAAGGGGACCCGCATGCAGCCCGGTCCCTCCCAGCCCCAGCCCGAGCCTGAGCCCCCACAGGGCTTGGATGCCTTCAGAGAGACAAAGGGCCATTGAGGCCTCAGAGCCAGCTGGGGGAGGGGAACTCAGGCTACCCCGGCTATTTTGGGATCTTCAGACTCAAAATCATTCAGCCCTGACCAGGCCACGCAGGCTCAGACCCCAGGAACAGAGGGTGCTCCGAGCCAAGAATCGGCCCCCCTCTGGGCTTACACACAGCAACATGCTACTGCTCCCATGTGTACACACGCACTCGATGTCCCAGGTCTCACGTACGCAGATACATGCACACCCACTCACTCAAGTCTGCACAGGCACTGGGTGTCACACACTCACCTGCGTGCATACACACTGCACGCCCTCATGCAATGCAAAACTTGCCCCTCAGTCACACAACACACACTGGGCGTGCCCCCAAGTACACGGTGTGGTTGCGCCCCTCCAGGTGCTTCCCTGAGAAGGAAGATGGGGAATGGAGTCTAGAGAGGATGGGAAGTCCTACCTACTGGCCCCCCGCCGACACCTTTCTTACGCAGATGACCCCTCCCTCACTCCGGAGGGGCCGGGCCCAGCTCCCCCGGAAAGGAGGGGGTGGGGGTGGGGCGGCACCGCCCTCCCGGCGGCGAGCACACACCGCGCGTGCGCACACACCTTTAATGTCGGGCCTCGCGGCCGGCGGCGCCTCGGCTGGTCCCGCGGAGCGCGCGGTCCGCCTGTCCCCGCCGCCGGGACCTCGAGGGTACCCCGCTTGTGTGTGAAGCGCATCGAACAGTCGAGCGCCGGCCGCCAGGCGGCCCGGAGTCACAGGTGTCTGGCCGCCCCGGTGGGGGAGGGGAAGAGGACGGGGCAGGGCGGCCCCTTCCCCCAGCCCCGGCCTCCTGGTGTCTGGTCTCAGGCTACGGCCGTCCCCTCCCCCTCGGCCTCGGCAGACAATGGGCGTTTCACGGCGGGACGTCGCTGCTGGACCCGGGCCCGCCGCTGGGAAGGAGGCGGCGTCCAGCCCGGGCCCCGATCAACGCCTCAGGTGAGGCCGAGGCCGGGAGGCGCCCAGGTTTGAGTCCGCTGGCTGTGTGCCCACCCACCAGCCCCGCGGGCAGGGCCCACACCGCCGGGCGGTGGGATCGAGTGAGAGTTTGGAGACGGGGCTCAGCAGGACCAGCTCGTAGGGTGGCGACCGCTGGCGGCTTGGACGGCAGCTGCGGCCGCTGACCCCTGGCTTCCCTCCTCCCTCATTACTCAGCCTTCACCCTGCCCGGGGCCCAGCCTCCCTCAGCAGCCCGTCTGAGCTCCTCCGGGGGTAGGCTCAGTGCAGGAGGTGTGTCCCGAGTCGGGTCGGATTTCTGCACCCTGGGAGGTTACCCTGTGACAGAGAGAGCACTAGAGGTCGGAGGGTCGGGGGGGGGGGGTGGGGGGGTTATCTGTACAGAGACCCGAAGGATAGGGAGAGGGGTTTGCACCTCCGGACAGAGGCAACTACAGAGGCCCAGGGGAGAACGGGCTCAGGAGGCTGCAGGAGGCCAGGAGGGGCCAGCCTGGTGAGGCCTCAGGGCGACAGGGGCCATGGGCGGGTCCTCCGGCCTGGGGAACGCTGGGAGGAGGGAGCCCAGTCCAGGGCCTGGACACCTGCCAAGACATAGACTGAAGCCAGCAGGGGGCGTCAGACGAACAGAGGAGGGGGACGGAAGGCACCTGCAGAAAAGGGGGCCGCGGTGGAGCTGATCCATGCCTTCGGTCCCTCCCCTCCAGGACAGCCCCAAATCCACCTCTTTCGGCCAGGCCCTGCCCATCTCCGGGAGGAAAGAGAAAGCTGGAAGAGCCAGGGTGGCACCCACGTGTGGTCAGTGCCTGGTGAGTGGAGACCCTGTGTCCTGCTGAGGGCCACGCCAGGCAGTGAGGGATGCACAGTCTGAGTTGGGGGACGGTGCTTCCTGGAGGTACTGACCGGCTGGATGTCAGGATGAAGAGGAGTGACAGACAGACACACCTACTGGAACCAGAAAGTCAGGGGACAAAGGGGCAGAGAGACCGGCCAGACAGGAGAGAGCCGCAAAGACGGAAGACCAGGAGATTGCAGACGTAGCCAGGGTGCAGGCGGAGTTTCTCCCGTGGGGGAGGGTGACCGGGACCAGCAGCCAAGGCGCAGCGTCAGGTGGGAAGCCTCCTGCTCAGAGGGGAGGGTCCCCCTCTTCCAGCCCGTGGGCTGTAGCTCTTGAGTCCAGGTTTCCAGCTCTCTGGCCCGCACCACGCCCACAGCTGCCTTCTCCCACCCCTCAGCCAAGCCACAGGGGCTACCTGCTGTTCCCTGCATCTCCAACCTTGTGGTGCTGCCTTCCCTGCCCGGAATACCCTTCCCCCTTGGCCTTCGCTCCTCAACACACAGCTACACCTGGCCTCCTTGGAAAGCCCGTCCAGAACCTCGAACGGCCCTGTGCAGGTGGCAGTGGCAGCCCTTCCAGCGGCCCTGTGAGGATCTGCTTCTGGGCCGTGGCAGTTGGGTGGCTGAGGAAGGAACCCACGGATGGATTCACAAATGGACCCTAGCGACCCTCACCGCCTCCCCTCCAGGGACAGAAGTGGATGTACATTGCTCCCCACTGGTGGGTCAGGGACAGGCCACAGTCTGGCCCAGATGCTGTGCTCTTATTTCGCCCTAATGTACACGGGAAGCCCGTGTCTGTGGCCAGAGGGACAGGCTGCCTGCTTCTGCCGGGGCCAGCGTGGGGCGGCCCAGAGGCAGCTGCCAATGGGAGGGGCAGGGAAGCTTCTGGCCCACCTCAGGCCAGAGGCAGACCAGCCTCTCCTGACTTGCCACACCTAACCCCTAACAGTGCCAGACTCAGGGTCCGGCAGGTACGAGATGGGACAGGGAATCCAAGTGGCCCCAGAGACTCTTCCTGTCCCTACCACAGTCCTTCCATCTCTGGCATTGAAAAACCCAGAGGCAGAGCCCACAGGAGGCAGGGCCCAGACCTTGTCCGGGAACAGGGGGGTGGGAGGAGGGCATAGCTGGACACTGGGGCAGCAGGCAGGAGATGGGAGCCATATGAGGGCAGAGGGCTGGAGCCCTGTTCCCAGGCCCCCAGGGACACAAGCCAAGGTTGCCTGCTACCAGCCTGCTGGCAGAGCACCTGCAGGGTCCCCTCCCCAGGCTGATCCAAGGGTGGCAGGAACCACAGCCCAGCTGGGATTTCAATCAGAATCGTGTGCCGGTTGGTACACCTGAGGCTGCAGGCACACGTGCACACGTGCAGGCCACACAGCTGTTAACAGCAGGCTGCGTGGGAGGACACAGAGCCGGCCCCTCCCATGCCTCTTTGCCCTGGTGGGGAGGGGAGTGGGAGGGGCCCTCTTCCCCTTCCCAGGTCCAGCTGTAAGCAGCCCCTGGCAGGGGGCCTTCCTCAGAGGAAGTTCTCAGGATCTGCTCTGGGGGGAGAGGCCCCTTCTAGGGGAGCTTCCCTCCCCACTGGAAACTCCACCAGAGGCCTAGTCACCCCTGCCCGGCTCCCAGCCACAGCCTGGGACTGGAACGTGATCCCTCCTGAGTCCCAGTGTAGCCCGTGGGGGCACAGTGCCCTCTGATGAGCTGCATCAGTGTCACCAGGGTGCTTGTCACTAGGGTGCTGTCTCATTTCTGAGATCCCTGTTGCTCTTCAATGAGAGGCGGGCACTCTCTGGGACTCTGGGGTGTCAAGGGTTACTGGGGCTATTTCAGTGATTGTGCCTGCAGCCCCCAGCCCGGCTGGGCCTTGGGGGCCTGTGTGGGGAGCCATGGTTCCCCTATCTCAATGGTGGGGGGGGGGCGGCTGGGGCCAGCAGAGCCGGACAGGAGACGGAGACCAGTTTTCATCCCCCCCCGCCCCCCGCCCCAGGCCTCTAGGCAAGGGTAGAACTTGTGGGGGGAGGGAGGGCAGCTGGCCTGGAGCCCGCAGGTGGAGGCAAAGGGCTGGGGCAGGTGCAGGGGCAGGAGAGAGGCCTGTTTCTGCAGCTGTTTTCCACCTTCCTGTGGTGATGGGGGTGGGGGCAGGCTTTGCTTCTCAGGGGGCTGGGGAGAATTAACCCTTTAGGAAGGAAGCAAAGCAGGCTGGAGGAGGCTGAGCTGGCCTGACTGTAGCAGGGTGATGGTGAGAGTGACCTCTGGCTAGATCCACGGCCCTGAAGTCTGGGCCCACTCCCCTGCTAACCTTACCTGGCAGCCCCATGCCACCCTCTACACTCCCCCCACCTCAGCCTGTAGGACTGGCAGGGCAGGGGGCTGTAGCCCCACACCTGGGCCAGCTAGCCCTGACCAGGTGAATCTAATTTCTCCTCTGTGCACGTGGGTCCCAGCACCCCCAGAGATGCTGTAAGGGCACAGGCAGGCCCCACCGGAATCCACTCTGTCCAGCACCCTGGGGGAGGCCAGTATAGACAGCGGGAGAGGGGAGGACAGTTTCAAAACAACTTTTTTTTTTGCATTTCCAATCTGCAGGGGAGAATGGAGACCAGGGCTGTTCTCTGGGTGTGGAGCAGGGGGATGAGGTGGGGTCTGGAAAAAGCCAAGAGCTGTTTCCACTAGCTCAGTCTGGCGCAGTGAAGGGACTGGATCCAAAGGCCTTTGGTTTCAGGAGCAGCCCCCCACCCAAGCCTCCTGGGGCTGCCCCAGGGAGGACACCAGCCAGCCCACCGTGGGCCCAGGGGAAGTCAAAGCCGGCACAGGTCCATTCTAGCGCTGACTATCTACCACGGACCCCCAGGTGGGGAGAGGACAGGCGGGCGGTGGGGGGGGGGGCGGTCACACCCCACCTGAGCTGATGCCCCACCCCCCTGGCTGCTGGAAGGAAGGAGAAAGCCTGGGCGGGCAGCCTCCAGCCTGGGCCTGCCTGGGGGAGGGGCTGAGGGCGCTAGGCGGGTCTGGAGGGGTGGGGTGAGAACCTACAGTCTGGAAGAGGGAAACAGGGACAGGAAGCAGCCACCTCCCACCTCAGGGAGGAATGTGGCGGGAGTAGGACAGGCTCAGAGGACTTGGGGGTACAGAAGCTAAGTGCCAGACAGCAGAGGGAGCCTGCCCAGGAAACTCCCCCTGGACTTCTACCTGCCCCCGCTCTGCTTCAGGGAGAGCCAGTCCCTGTCTGGGGGTGTCTGCAGTCCACATCCAGCTCCGAGGCCATAGCGCCTGCACCAGTGCGGGGCCGGCCCGGGACCCAGCACCTCTCCAGCCTGAGCTACATAGGACTGCCTTCCCAAAGGCCCTAGAAGGCTGGCCTGGCAGGGAGGAAGGGAGGGAGGGAGGGTGCTCACTGGAATCAGGCTGGCCAGGCTAGGCCACGGCCGCCAGGACCCCGGGCTTCAGGGCTGGGCAGGGCTGAGCTGGGCCACAGCCAGACTCACCGACCCTGTCCCTGTGCCAGACCTGGAGAGGGCAGACAACACTTCCTTTCTCTGCTCCTGGCTCCTAGTGGGCAGGGAAAGGCCTGGGGAAGGGCTCCAGCCCTGCATCCCTCCTAGGGGCTTCAGGGGGCCCCAGGACCAGTCTTCATAAGGTGGGGGAGGGGAGGGTGGTGGGAGTGTATGGGTGCTGCCCAGACCAGGGCAAAGTGGCTGAAGGCTGGAGGAGATGCCTGCTCAGCTTCCAGCCTGGGCAGGCTCATGGTGCGTGGGCGGCTGGCACTGGAAGAGGCCAGGCCACTTCCCTGACAAAGCAGGGGGCGAGGGGCTCCTTCCTGAAGAGGCTGCTCTGAAGCAGAGCATCGTCTCCCTCACCCACAGGTGGCGCAGAGGGAGGGACACATACCTGTCTCAGTTATGCTCGGAATGTGGCTCCCCAGGCGGAGGATTGGGGAGGAGCTTCCTGGGGGCTGGAGGCTGGGGAAGGGGCCCAGAGCCAGGAAGACCCTGCAGGCCCTGGGGGGGAAACTGAGGAAGGTAGTCCCAGTAGAGCTGGGGCCCAGGTGGGGATGAGCTGGGGGCATCCAGGGAGGTGGGCCTGGCAGGATGTGCCCCTGACCTTCACGGCTGTGGGCCTTTTGGGGGCCGGGGAGAGGTGTGTTAGAGACAGGGGTCTTGGGTGGTCTTAGGGTGACCTCCACAAATCAGTGGCTGCCCAGCCTTCACTCTGGGCCCTGTGGGGCAGGGGCAGCTGTGGGCTCTCAGGAACAGAACAGGGTCAGAATCAGACAGGGAGGGGTCATCTTAGTTCAAGCCCTGCCCATCCCTAACCCTAACCCCTCACTAGGGTGAGGCCTTGTCTCCCTGGAGAGCCTGGAGTGGGGTTTGAGGTCCTTATCTCCCACAGAGTGGAAGGTGGGCCCTCCTCCCAGCCGCACCTTCCTGGGGGAGGTGGGGAGAGGACTGTCTCTTCCCCAAGCCTGGCCCCAGCTCCAGGGGGCCTTTTGCCTCAGGCCTTCGGGAGGCTCAAGGGGGAGGCACCCCCATCTAACTGGGGTCCCTGGGATGCACCCACCCTGCCTGCAGCCCCTGCTCCTCAAGGTGCCCCAGTTTGCTTCCAGAGAAGGGATCCGTGTCATGGGCTCAAAACTTTCAGGGCTCCCTGGCCCCTTGCAGTGGACCCCAAGCTTCTCACTCTGGGACCCTCCCCTCCCTGGGGGCTTCCCCTCCACCCTGGCTCTACCACAAGGCTCCAAGCTACAGTCAAGGCTACTTCCTTTCCTTTTCTCTCCATGAACCTCCTTCCCCAAGACCCTCCTCCTGGCAGGCCCACCCCAGAAGACTCTGGTGGCCTCGGCCGCTTCTGGGTGCTCACCCCATTGCTACACACTGGCCTGTGGGTCCCAGCACCACTCTCCCCCGCCGGCCCAACTGGAGCTGGGGGCCTAGCCCAGTCCCTATCCTGGGCAGCCGGCACACAGAAGGTGAAGTCTCGCTGTAAGCTCTCCCTGTGGGCCCTCCTTTCCAGGTGTCGCTCTGCCCAGCCTGATGTATCCGGAACCAGGGCCTGGCCTGGGTAGAGCAGGATCTGGCAAGATGGCAAATCTTGTTCTGCCCGGGGTGGCCCTCCTGCCACATGCCCTCTGACCCCACAGAAGGCCTCAGTTACCGAGTCGTGGACCCTCAGGCTGGACCCGTCCAGCTGCAGAGTTAGTGATGTGCCTTCTTGATCTTGCAGAAACAGGGGACTCTCTGTGCCCTGACCCCTCTCCTTAGCCCCCAACTCATCTTTCAAAACTGAGCATCACACCCCACAGCCTGCCCCATCTCCATGTCACCCTCCTATCTCTTCCCTAGACCACAAGCTTCCAGAGCAGGGCCAGGGTCTCCAGTCCTCACCTGGTGGGAGGGCCATGCTGGGACCTCCTCAGCTAAGCTGGTGCTGCAAGGGACCAGTGACACAGCCCCGCCGGCCTCTCTGTATGACGTTGCAGGCTGGGACCCTGGACGCAGCCCCAGGAGCAATGGACCACAGGCCCCGCAGGATGCTACAGGGCCCCCACTTCAGGTCCCGCCCCTCGCCCTGCACAGCCCGCCACCCAGGACCCCGCAAAAGCCAAGCCAGCGCCACAGCCGTAAGTCGGGTGGAAGATGGAACTTCCCTGCTGGCCAACAGAGCAAATCAGAGGGACAGGGTCACCTTCCCAGGACAGGAAGTCAAGGACCCTTCCCACTGCCCTGGGAGGAAGCATTCTCTCCTCTCTCCGCCCTCTCCGGTACATCCCTTCCCAGGCAGCCATGAGGGGACAGACAGGATGTGAGGGCGACGGGCAGTTCCTATGTTCTCCCTGCTACATTCCTCAGCCAAGGATCTCAGCCCCCAACTGGGATTCTCCTGGGTTGAGGTGGGTGGGTGAGCCCTGGTCATGTGATTCCTGCTCACCTCTCAGAGGCTGGGGTGGGGGAGGGATGCTCTTGGGCCATTCAGAACGGACGCATGGGGAGAGCAGACATGGAAAGGTTCTGTACCTCTGTGAGGGGATCCCACACCCACTCAAACTCCTGGAAGCAGCCCACTCCACATAACTGCCCCTCCCAGAAATGACAGGCCTCTTGTCATGACAGCCCCACCTCCAGCACAACCCTTAAGCCCCACCCCAACGGGTTTGCTCAACATCTGGGCCCTGTCTAAACAAATGTTTGGGCTTCTGCAGAACACAAACAACTGATGTTCATTCACCTGGTCCCAGCCTCTCTCCTAGAACAGGGAACTCCAGGAAGGGGCATGCAGAACTACGGAGGGGGAGGGGAAGAGAGAGGAGGCCTGTCCCTTTGCAGGGCTGGGACTCACTTGGCTCCAAGACAAAAAGTGGTGGCATCTCCAGGGCCAGGGTGGGGAGCGCTGCTTATATCAGAGATTGGAGCTGAGATGGCTGGGAAGCCAGGGAGCTGGGACTCAGAAAAGGAGGTTGGACCACGAGATGCCAAGTGCTCTCGCCTCCAGCAAACTCTCTCCTGACCCCCACGGTGCCTCCCCTGCTCTGCCCCTTCACGCACCTTCCACACAGTGTTCCACCTCCTCCAGGTTCCGCAGGGTGATGCGCATGAGGCTGGAGTTGAGCATCAGCTCATTCTTGTGGGCCGGCCACAGGTACGGTGGGGCTGGGTTCACAAAGAAGATCCTGGTGTCCCCAGTGGACACCTGGTTGTCACAGATGAGGGGGTCTCCGAAGCCGCCAATCACCACCTTGTTGCCTCCGTCCAGCAGGCTCTCCTGGGCCACCACATCTTTGCCCTTCAAGTACCGCCAGACCCGAACCTGGGGTGGACATGGGGGGTGCGCAGGTGTCAGTGATCCTCTTCCCACTGGGGAGGGGTGGCCGCAGAGGCTGACACCTGGGCTTTTTCCTCTCTTCCCACCTCACTTGCTCAGGCCAGATGTCCAGAGTAGATAGACCCAAACCCTGGGCAGATGTGTGGAGATCTTTGGGTCAGCCCCCCAGGAGGAAGCTGCAGGGAAGGACACACACGATGGATGCCACTGCCCACCCATGTGTGTCACACACTAGGACACCTGGCCTGCAAACACACCCCTTTCCTCAAGAAGCAGCCCCCCAACCCCCAGCCACCCCAATTCCAATAACGTCCTTCTCGGCTCAGGCTGGTTACGGGAAGGGGACCCAGCCGGCTGGGGTGCCTGCCTTCCGTGCCCCACTCTCCCTATCGCCCCACCCACTGCTCCGGCCATTCTGTATGGGCAGAGCCAGGAGCAGCTAAGGTGGATGATGAAGTTTCAGGGTGATGAGCTCTAAGCTCAGGGCTCTGGGCCAGCTGGGCTCCATGCAGCCCTGTGGGTGGGCAAAGGCACCATGCCCCCCGGCAGGTGAAACGCCCTCCTCCTGCAAGGCCCCTACAGTGAGTGCGGTCAAGGCAGCCTGTGAGCCTCACAATCAAGCCTGGGCAGCACAGGGCAGCCCCACCCTCCCCACTCTGCTCTTGGGGCCCTGAGGGTACCTGCTCTGACAAACCAGGCCCTGGGACGCCCACGGCCTGCTGGGGGTGGGGGGAGGAGGGTCGCAGGGGCTGCAGTCAGAACAGGCGGTCCTAAAGGAAAAGGTCCATGGGGATACGTGCCCATGCATGCTGCGCCTGGGAAGACACCCCTTTCCTCGGGAGCTCTGGGGAGCCAGGACTTCCAGAATGGGGAATGAAAGACAATGGTGGCCCGTCCACCTGCCTGCCCCTGCTGGGAGCCTCGGGTCTGAGAAATCTGCAGGGACTCCCTCCACCCTCCAGTGGCCATGGGGAGGTGGGGGAGCCTTGGCCAACTCCCGCCCCCCACCCCTAGACACACAGTAGGCTCTAGAAGGACGACAGCTAGCAGGGGAGGGCTGGGTGGCTTTCATCGCCTCCCCCCACCCCAGCCACACCCAGGAGCAGCGGGGAGGAAGTCGGGAAAATCCTGCAGGGACTTGGCAAAGTGCCCTGGCGGTGGTGGAGGGGAGGGGGCCCGGCGGGGGATCCCAGCTGTAGCCCGCACAGGCCAGGCTGAAAGAAGCTGCCACCCCTCCCCATCTCCAAGGAAGAGGAATGATCCGATTTCTGGTCGGGGAGGTGGTTTTAGGGGCCAGAGGGGGGCAGGGCCCTGGGTCCCTTGAGCCCTCCCTAGGAACAGATTGTGGGAAAAACCCCACTAGACCTATCCCAGGGGGCTCCCAGATCCAACTGAAGGAGAGGCCAGGCAAGTTCCCCCTCCCTGTGGCCGGGGGAGATCCAGGTCTCTCAGGAGCAGGATGGGGCACCTGCCCTGCACCCCGACACTTGAGGCTCAGCAACGGCCCCGCCCACTTCTCTGCTCCGGCCCCCAAACCCATCACTGCAGCATGCCCCACCAGGAGCCCTGGGGTTGGGAGATAAAATATGCACCCCTCCACTCTCTCCTGACCACCCCTTCTCGCCTCTGGGGGGGGGGGGCGACAGCACTGACCACAGGCCAAAACCCCACCTCCACCCCAAGCAGAAAGCGTCACCTCCCCTCGTCCCTGTTCCTTTTCTTTGGCCGGTGGGTAGGGGGTGCGGTAGCCGAACGTTCTCCCTGGGGGGAGGCGCACTTGTTTCCAGTAAGGGAGGGGGCTTGGGTTGAAGGGGCAGACACGATCAGGTCTCCGGGGCCTGGGCACCGCGAGGCGGGATGGCAGCGGCACCGCAAGAACTTTCCCTCCAGCGCTCGCGAGTTTTCCCAGACCCGGCGCCCCACGCGGGGGTTGGCGGTCGCCAAGGGAGCGGGCGCGGGCGCTGTGGAGCGTCTGGGGCTCGTTCCCACGGCCCGGGGCGGGGGTCTCAGCGGGGCGGCCGGCGTCGCGATGGCAGGACCTCCGGGCTAGGGGGCCGGGATCCCGGGGAAGAGGCCCCCAACCCAGGCTTCCAGGACGGTCCGAAGGGGGCTCAGGGTCCCGGGGGTCACGCGGGGGCCCACCTTGCACGAGTACGTGTGCTGCACCGGGTCCACGTTGAGGATCTCCTCCACGGTGCCGGTGAGCACCACGTTCGCCTCCTCCTCCCGCCTCTCCAGCGCGCGTTCGGGGCACGTCCCGTCGGCGCCGGGCAGGGCGCGCGCGGCCACCACCAGGAGCAGCAGCAGTGGCTGCAGAGGAGCCTGGCCGGACGGCCGCAGTCTGGCCATGGCGCGGGCGGAGGACGGCGGAAGGCGGCCGGAGCAAGCTCACGGGCCGGGCCGCGCCAGGGACTGGACTGGACAGGACGGGACGCAGCTCCTGGGAGGCGGCGGGAGCGCGGGCGGCGCGGGGGCGGGCCGGGGGCGGGACCGGGGGCAGCACCACCCCCTTCCCGCCTCCCTCCCCCCTCCCGGCCCGCCCGCGCCCGCCCCCGGCCCGCCCGGCGCCCTGCGACCCGCGGCGGCCGCGAACAAAGCGCCGGGACGGCGGCGCCGGGCGGAGGCCTGGCTGGGGGAGGGAGAGGGCCAGTCTGGGTCGGGCCAATGTGGGTGATGGGCCTAGCCCGGCCGAGGGGCGGGGGCAGGACGGGATCGAGGGTGCTCTCCCTGCTGCGGCGCACCCCCACGGACGCCCCTCCCCCGCCTGCGCGGACGTTCCCCACCCCCGCCAGGAAATGCGGCTGAAATCGGGTTAATGCATAATCTGGAAGCGACGTGACGGGACTTCCAAGGGGCTCCAGGCTGCGCCGGGGCTGGGGCGGCGGGGGCTCCCCGGCCGCGGGGAGGGGCTGCCAGATCCGGGGCCCCGCCGCCCCTCGACCCCTGCAGGGCTGCGCTCCTCCCCCGGCAGGAGGAACCTGACGGGGGACCCCAGCCCCTCGCTGGAACTGGGGACGGAAGCTCGGCCGACCCGGGACCCCCGGCCTGCCGGGACCAATGCGGGCCGGGGGCTGCGGCGATTGGTCGCAACGGAGCGCAGACCCGCCCACCTCCCGGTCCCGGGTCAGCTCCGGCCCCTCTGCAGGGCTGCGGGCTCCCCCTGCTGTCCGAGGCGGCGATTGCGTCTCCGGTGGACGGCCAGCCACGCCCCCTCCCCAGCTCCCCCAAGGCGCTTCTCCAGACATTCCCACAGGGTCCAGGCGGGTAAACCGAGACCCAGAGGGTCCAGATTAGACCCCGACCTAGCTGAAGATGGTGGAGGTGGGGAAGGAGAGGAGATCCCTCTGTCCCTCCAGGGCCGGGTCTGCTGCACATCCCCTCACCCAAGCCAGCCACAGACCTCTGAGCTGGAGGCAATGAAGGGTGAGCAGCAGCAGAGGCCCCTCGGGGGACCCTACGTCGCCTAGACCCTGGTGGGGGGGCGTTCAAGAAAGGAGGGTGGCACCGAGGGGGTGTGCTTACACTTGTTAAGTTACAGTATGACAAAGAGGTGAGGTTGGGGGCCCAGGAAATGAGGTTGGAGCCAGGAGCCCTCCCCCCCATACACCTGCATGTCTGCACATATTTGTCACAGGCAAGCCAGACCTGGGGCGTCCCCCAGCTCAGATACGGACCCCCACAGACCAGAAAGAGGGCTTCTGGGTCTGCAGCCAAATGCCACTGAAGAGTCTGAAGGCTGAGGACTGAGTGTCCCCAGAGTCATGGACTTTGGCCCAGAGAGGTGTACGTTCTATGCTCCCCCGCACCCCACCCCCCACCCCACCCCTCGTGTCTAAGGCTGACTCAGCCTGGCTCCCGAGTGGCTCATGCGGAAAACTGGCACAGAAAAATGCATCCGGTGTGGAAGTGGCTGTAGTTTTGCCAAATTAGGTGCCCCCTATCTGGGACAAACTCTTCCACATGGATGGGAGGAACCCCTATCCCAGGTACCCCCTCACCTACTGGCTGTGGCCCCTCCATGAACTGAACCCTGAAGGAGGGCGTATTTGCTGATTCAGCAGCTCCCCCTGATGGTGATGTGAATGCCTAAGGCCCTGTCACCACTTTTCCCCAGACCAATGCAGGCTGGACAGTGTAGGCGGATGGTTCCTGGAGGGTCAAGAGGCCCCCAGCCCCCAGCTGGTGTGGGGAAGCCTCCCTCACAACTGGCCCAGGCAGGCCCTACGGACTCACCGCTTCCAGGGACACTCGCCTTGTGGCCTTTGGGACCTCACCAGGCCTTCCCCTCCCTGTGCTACCTGCTGACCCAGATGTGAGGGGTGGGGACCAGTTGTGCAGGCAGGGGCTGACCATGGCTCAATGTGAAGACAGGGATAGGCTCCAGCAGATATGCCTCTTTTTATTTCTCTAGAAGTTAACTTCCCAAAGATGTGGGGACACACCTTCAGTTTCTCTGGGGTCAGGCGGAGGTCACCATTTTGATCCCACTAGGCTTGTCCCTTAACTTGGCCACCCTAGCCTGCTGATTCTCCCAGCGACCCTGGGTCCCCTCTTACCACTCCCTCCTCCACCCCTCCCCCAATCTCACCAGAAGGGTGCAGAATGGTGCTACAGAGGGTGCTACAACTGTATTCCTGGTGCTCAGTGGGGCGCCCTCCCGCGGCCCTCCTGGCCCTGCCCCGCCCCCCCGCAGGCGCAGATTCATGAACACGGTGCACATGGTGGTGAGGCCGTACTCCCCCAGCTGG